ACTGTGGTACAAACAGAAGAACTGTGTGTGTGTGAAATCAATTAAATTTCGAAACTTCATTCGCCCAAAGATTTTCCAATTGACATGCGGCATCAAAATTTTACATCCGCCTTTTCCTTTTTAAGGTTTGTGTCTTTTGATTTCTTTTTTTATCTTTTTTTATCTTTTATTTCTTGTTTTTTTTTTGCAATCACTTTACATAGGAGATTACCCGTCACAATCATGTAAATACAATAAAAACACTTTTGATCTTCTTTTTTATTGTGAAGCACATAATTTGCTACTGGTTTAATGAAATTGTCCAAAATAAATCTAACCCATTTTGCAGAGCTTAATTGTTTTAAAATTACTCTCTACCGGGCCCCACCTATTGTTGTGCAAAATGCATAATAGATAAATTGAAATTAATGTTAGAAATGACCGATACGTTGAAAAAGGGAGCCGCAGATAAGCATCGTAAATTTAAACAATTGCCGTACGTGAATGATTTTACCTTTTAATTGTATTTGCTATATAATGCTATTCTAATCCACTCTAGTAACCATTTACGATTTTGAATATTTTTCTCTCCAGGACAAGAGTACCCCATAATGACTTCTGAAAGAGAATCAGTCTCATCTGTAGAACAGATACACGACGAGAAAGCAACCCATTTGAACGTTGTCACCAACGAAAAATCTGTAGTTGATGATGAAGAGTACGACTATGACGATCCAAAAAACTATAGCACAAGCTACGTTGATGAGTATAACCCACGAGGCTTGAGAGTTCCAACAAAACACGAGGAGCAAACTTTGAGAAAGGTAATTGGCAAAATCAACTACGCTATCCTTTTGATTTTTGTTGTCGAATTTGCAGAAAGAGCTTCGTATTACTCGGTCACTGGTATTTTAACAAACTTTATCCAAAGACCTTTGCCTAAGGACTCCCCTCACGGTTGGGGTGCACCGGTTTCAGATGATGGAAGTGAAAGTGCTGGTGCGTTGGATAGAGGATTGCAGGCAGCAAGTGCTTTGACAAACTTGGTTACATTTTTGGCTTATGTCGTTCCATTATTTGGTGGTTATATGGCTGATACGACTTGGGGAAGATGGAAGACGATCCAGTGGGGTGTCGTGTTTGGTGGAGTTGCACACGTATTGTTCATTATTGCAGCAGCTCCAAGTGTCATTGCTAATGGAAAGGCTGGCTTGGCACTTTGTGTTCTTGCAATTTTCACATTGGCCTTTGGTTCCGGGTTTATCAAGCCAAATCTTTTGCCATTGATGTTGGATCAATACCCAGAATCAGGTGACAGAGTGAAGGTGTTGAAGAGTGGTGAAAAGGTTCTTGTCGATAGGGAAAAGACCTTGGAAAGTATTACCTTGATATTTTATTGGTCGATCAATATCGGAGCCTTCTTCCAATTGGCAACTTCTTATTGTGAGAGACGTGTTGGGTTCTGGCTTGCATTCTTTGTTCCATTGGTTCTTTATCTTTTCATGCCAATTGCTTTTTGGTTGGTTAAACCAAAGTTGGTTTTTGAAAAACCAAGTGGATCTATATTGGGAGTGGTGCTCAAAATTCTTGTTGTGTCGTTTTCAGGCAACTTTGTCAAACGTATATTCGATGGCACTTTCTGGGACTATGCTAAACCATCTGCTATGAGAGAAAGAGGCCGCGAATACTTCAACGCCAAAAAGCAAACTCCAATCAATTGGACCAACCAGCATGTCCTTGATGTTAAACAAACTTTAGATGCTTGCAAGTTGTTCATTTATTTCATTTTCTACAACTTGGCTGACGGTGGATTAGGATCAGTGCAGACATCATTGGCTGGTGCCATGAATTTGAATGGGGTGCCAAATGACTTGTTTAGCAACTTTAATCCACTTGCTATCATTGTTGTTATTCCTGCTTTGGATTACATCATTTACCCACTCTTGAGGAGATACCGTATAAATTTCAGACCAATTCAGCGTGTCTTTCTCGGCTTCGTCATTGCTGCCATGTCTCAAGTTGCTGGAGCTGTTTTGCAACACCGTGTCTACCAAACTTCACCTTGTGGAGACCATGCTACCAATTGTTCAGAACCATCACCTATTAGTGCCTGGCAAGCATCTTCAATATATATCTTGTCTGGTGCTTCTGAATGTTTTGCCATGGCCACCATTTATGCACTTGCCTATACCAGAGCAGCTCCATCTATGAAGGGAGTTACCACGGCATTGTTCCTTTTCACACTGGCTGTCAGTGCTGCCATCAACTTGGCAGTAACACCAGCTTTGAATGATCCAAATTTGGTGATTGTGTTTGCTGTAATCGCCGGTGTTGCGTTTTTAGCTGGTCTTATCTTGTTTATACATTTCTTTAACTTGCACAAGACAATGGAGGAAGAAGATAAGGAAAGAATCGCTTTGGGAGGATCTGTTGTTCCCGAAAAGATCAATCCAGGTGAAGCATTGGAGCCAGTAGCTAGTGTGCATGCGCGTTATCCTTTGGAGGCGGTGGCCTCTCTTAGATCAGTTTGAGGAGGTAGATTGTCTCCAGAAAGGTGCAGATATTTATTTGTTTTGCTTTATATGTTTCAGTTTTGAGTGGATAGTTTCTACATTTATTTTAAGTGAATTATTAATTGTGTTAAGAGCTTACTCTTCTGACAATCACGTTCGATTTTATCACTACTTAAAAGAGTTAGAGGTAGTCAACCTTAAGCACCTCTTATAAATTAAATAATGTTTTGTGTTTCCTTAGGTATAGTGATTTTTTGGTGACGTTGTGAGGAGGTGGGTGACAAATTCGATCCACCATGAGACTCGTTCTCATCCTCGCTATCGTCTTGGTCCGTTATTTCGAAGATCATTTCCTCGTTGCCATCTTCGTCATGACTTAATTCGAGTTCCTCGTGATCAGGCTGAGCTTTAGGCGAGAAAGACGTGGCCAGTTTTGTCTGAGTGATGTCATGGCCATCACCATTATCATCCTCATCTTCTTCTTCATCGTCGTCTTCGTCTTCTTCTTCATCTTCTTCATCGTCCTCGTCTTCTTCATCATCCTCATCTTCTTCTTCATCGTCCTCGTCGTCATTTTCTGGTTCCTCTTCCTCGCCTTCCTCAACTATTGCCGCTCCTCTGTCATTAATTTCCTTATTTTCAGCTTCAATTGCTAATATCCTTCGTCTCAATATATCCACCACATCCACCCAATCTCTCATTCCTCCCATTCCAATGTCACCACACACCAACACTTTCTCAACTGGCTTCAACACCTCAATACCAAAATCGGGTGACATGATAGTGGCTATTTGCTTCGCGGTCATGGGATGCGTGTACATAAAAGTATTCATTGCAGGTGCAACAATAATTGGCTTCTTGACTTGCTGAGATGTTGATGGTGACCAAGATCTGATGATGGAAGTTAACAAATTATCGGCAATACCATTGGAAATCTTTGCCAATGTGTTTGCTGACAACGGCGCAACTAACATGATATCTGCCCATTTCCGCAATTCATTGTGGAGAATCAATTTGTCAAACGGACTCTTGGGTTTTGAAGACTGGTTTTGTGTTGAGCTGATGGTTGTAGCTTCATTGTAGTTTGCCCACTCATCTTCATCTCTCCAAATTTTAACATCGGCATTGATCTTGGAACCTTTAAGAAAGTGGCTGGCTGCTTTTGTCACGATCAACTGAATGGAAATCTTGGAAACGCCAAATAATTGAAACAACTTGTCAATGATCAAGGGTATTTTAATTGTAGCAACAGAACCAGTACATGCCAACAAGATATGAAACTTGCCATCGTCTTCCTTGGAAAGATATTCCTGAAAAGGAACGGGAGGACCAACTGGAGAAGCCACTATCGTCTTGCCCGCCTTTTTGAGGGAATTTCTTCTCGATGAATTGTTACTTCCACTTCCGGTAATCTTTATTGGCACTGCGGAGTTTGAATTTGGTGATAGAGTGGACGCAGGTGCAAAGTTTTCTATGTGAGTAGGGCTAGGTGTATTAAACCGAGCTGGGACATTTTCATTATATCCCGCTGTTGGTTCCCGAGAAACTGCAGGTGGCTTGACGTTAAAAGAAAGGCCATCATTGTTTGCCTTCTTCCTGTTTAACGATGTTTGTCTAGACGGGGTGTTGGAGGACAGCTGAATTGGTGCATCCGGGTTATTATCCTGCTGGGCTACATTTGTGGATGATGGTTGAGACGAAATCGTAAACCTACGCAAGCGCTCTTGAGACTCTGTGTGATTAAAAGAGACGCTTGTGTTTCGTGTAGGAACATTTGACAGCTGATTTGGCTGTGCTGGTTGCTGTATGGATGATGCTTGGGGTCTGGTGTTTGTCAATATTTTAGGGGGAGTGTCCGCTGCATCTGCTATGGCTGTTCTAAGAGATGGAACTCGCCTCGTTTGAGGTGGGTTCAACTCAGCATTCGCCCTTGCTTCTTTAGTGTCCGTTTGTTGACTCTTTGATGCCATGATGTGTGTGATTTGTAATGTGTATAGTTTTTAATCCACGCAAACAATATAATCTTTTTTTTTACTTTTTTCGTTTTTACACGTATCAGAACGTTGGCTCCTGCTGTGCTCCTTCACCATGAATCTTCGTCAGCAAATTACCCAGTTCTTATCGCTAGCCTACGTATTTTCATCTGCGTTTATGCTATGGAAGACATTGTCTGTAGTGGCAAACCTGCACTCCCCAATTGTTGTTGTTTTGTCGGGGTCGATGGAGCCTGCTTTTCAAAGAGGTGATATATTATTCTTGTGGAACAGAGATCAAAGACAAAAAGTTGGTGATATTGTAGTCTACGAAATTGAAGCCAAGACTATTCCAATTGTACACCGTGTGTTGAGAGAACATCATAACCTGGAAAAGCAATTGTTGTTGACCAAGGGGGACAACAATGCTGTCGACGATTTGTCATTGTATGCGAAAAAGCAAAATTACCTTAATCGAAAGAGTGATTTGGTAGGAACAGTTAAGGGTTACTTGCCATTTATCGGATACATTACCATTCTAATTAGTGAAAATATGTATTTCAAGTTTGGTTTACTTGGGTTGTTAGGTATTTCGTCGTTAATAAGCGGAGAATAGAGTTGAATGTTTTAAATCAAGATCAGTATGTGTATATTACACCCTGTAGAATCGTCTATCTCTGCTGCTATGTTCACGGCCACAATTGCTACATTCTCGTCAAATTTGTTGACGGTTATTCCAGGGAAGGTATCTCTGTCTACGCGTCAATCGTCTAATCGTCATATGAAACAAAAAACTTCAGGCGGAAAAAAAAAGAACAAAAAATAAAAATAAAAACGTAAACAAAACCAACGCAAAGTATAAGGCTTTCATCAACGCAATGAGAGGTATGTTGTCTGCCCCCTCCCCCCTTCTTGAAATGTCATAATCCAAGCTGTATACTAACATTATTAAGACTACAAAATTGTTGTTTTAGGTGCCGGTGGTGTAGGGAAGTCCTCCATAACTGTGCAGTTTGTGCAAGGCGTATATATTGAAAGTTATGATCCCACTATTGAAGACTCGTACCGAAAACAGATAGAAGTGGATGGTCGTGCGTGTGATTTGGAGATATTAGATACTGCTGGTGTGGCACAGTTCACGGCAATGAGAGAATTGTATATCAAGAGTGGGAAAGGCTTTTTGTTAGTGTACTCGGTTACCGATGAGAACTCGTTGAAGGAGCTTTTGGCATTACGCGAACAAGTTTTGAGAATCAAGGATAGTGAAAATGTTCCCATGGTGTTGGTGGGTAACAAATGTGATTTGGAAGAGGATAGGGTTTTAAGTATAGAGGATGGGGTCAAGGTAAGTCAGGACTGGGGTTTGGTGCCATTTTATGAAACGAGTGCTATGTACAAGACAAATGTCGATGAAGCATTTATTGATGTTGTCAGACAGATAATGAGAAAAGAAGCGGCCATTAGTGCCGAGAAGAAGCAACAAAAGGAGAAACAAAAGGCAGAACAACCTATTGAAACGAAGCAACCTGTAGTCGAGCAACCAAAGAAGGCAGAGCCAGTGAAGGCGAGAGAAAATCAGTCGAATAAGGAAAAGAAGAGCAACTCAGGTAGTAAATGCTGTACCATAATGTAGGATCGGGATAGTGAAATATAATTAATTATACAGAAATAATGTACTATGGGATTAGCTGGAGTAGATTTCTGATGCGTCTCCCATTGTGCGAGTAATTATTACAGTCTTGCTTGAAAGTAGTGGCTTGATAATAGGCATTCTGTTTGAATTGCGACGCAAATGATCGTTAATAGAGGTTTTGGAGCTTGTGGTCGAATGATTGTATGGAATATCAACTGATTCCAAAGGAAAATAGCAGCGTTGTTCTTGATAGCAACCATAAAACTGGACAGCTCTGGACAAAATGAAGCGCAGAGAGGATATAACCAGCTAACATAACTTCTACAGAAATAACATTGAGGGACTCGTAGGTCGAAAAGAACGGCCATTATATCCTTCAAGTATTCACCTATAATGCTTTTTTCTTAGTGAAAAGATCTATTTTGTATCTTTTGGATAGGTATTAAGAAAGAATGAAAACAAGGTAATTTTTTGCAGCAATTTATACCAAAATTAACTTGATTTCGGTAACATTCACACCAAAGAAAAAAAGCAACATAACCATGGGTTTTGAACCACTTTGTAGCTCAATTCGGATATTTTCTCTGCCATAGATACCATTTACGTAGATAATTAAGCACAAAGGTTGGGATGGGTGATTTGATTCTTTGAGGCTGAAAGGTAAATTTCCTCCATGGAAACTAAAACATGAAACACTCCCTTGAATACTACAATTTGACCTATTTAGGATCAGAAAGATACTACAAAGCCTCACTACAGCCACTTTAAACGTGCCATCGGTGAAAGTACTACTCATTTCTGGTGTCTTGAAATCACAGTTGTCATGTTGTCGTCAAAAATTTTCAAGAAGAGTCTACGATGACACATGGAGTGAATGAGAATCGTATAAGCAACATTATAAGACTATGCACCTAGTATTATACTCTTTCACAGCTAAAAAGATTTCGAATTAGCCTCTGTTTTAATCTTGAAGAGAAAAAACACTTTTGTAAGCTATAGGAAAACACAAACTTGACAACAAATAAGTAGCCGTGGCCGAGCGGTTAAGGCGCCAGGGTAAGGTCACAACTTTACCATACTTTCCTGGTATCTTCGGATGCGCGAGTTCAAATCTCGTCGGCTACATTATTTTTTGATTTCCTCACATATTTTTTTTCTCTTTCTCTTACAGACGTGGTTCAAAGCACGACCAATTTACAGCACACTTTGAAAGCTGAAATGATGAAACTCTTTTCAGCTCGGAGGTGGGGGTGATACCAAAATGCAGGGTTACCAGAAAGTAACAACATCAGTGAACATAGAACTTATACATAATAACTGGTCGTGCTATGTCTCAGTGATTCGAGATTTAAATATGAGCAAAATCTATAGTGATTCTCTACAAAGTCAATATATATACAAAAGAAGCGATTATACCGTTATTGATCGTAATATCGGAGTTTTAATCTTGTAAGAGCTATACAACAACAACTATTGCTTTTATTCTTCCAAGCTTTCTTTACCAAGTAGATGGTCCGAAGGTCTCTCCATCTTTCAACAACTTTCTAATATTCTGCGTAACACCAGTGTCAAGCGTACCATTAACGACATCGTTTCCCCACCAGCTTGGGAAATCAGTTTGTGTCAAACCCATGGCCAACGAAATAATCAAAAGGCTCCAGGCCAAGCCGACATCCAATCCAGCAGACAAGGAATAATTGTACTTGGTCCACCAGTGGAAAAACTTTCTTTTGATACACCAACCAAAAAGTAATCCAACAAAACAGTATGACGTATAGTTGAATGGAGTTGCTGGTGGGATTAATCCGGTACCGGAGAAAAACACGGGCCAGTGCAAGTATTTAACGACGCTGTTTGGGTATTTACGCAAGATCAACCAATTGATAATGGGGAGAACAGCACCGATGATGAAGAAAAACAATGTTCCGTAGTACAATTGACCGTGGGAGAATTGACGTTGTGGACCAATGACTCCCCAAATAATTGAGGCATTGAAAAAAACCTTAGCTCCGGGACAGGTGAACTTGGATGGCTGGTCAGCTTCACATAACCCATCGATTGCACCGTAGGCCCATCTCATAACACCAATTTGAACAAAACAGGACCAGATAGCAGCCGTGAATTGAGAAAAGAACATGTTGTATGGAGAGATTTTCATGTAGTGACCCAATTTCATGTCCTGAGCAAAAGTGACTGCTTGATTGTTGGTGATGTAACCAAAAGTTTTGAAAAACATCATGGCAATTGGCTTACCTGGAAGCATATAACCGACAATGAATTCAGTAACAACATTCAAACCAACACTAATGTTGGTTCTTGCGTAGATAACAGAAACCGGAAGCAAGAAGACTATAGCAATGAGAATTGCTACAATCAAAGCCCAAACAGGCATTTCCGTTTCCCAAGCTCTAACCGTAGCGATTGACATTCCGAAAAAGACCAAGAATGAAAGTAGAAACCACCATTCTGGAACTCTCTTGTAACGGGCCATCAACCTATTGTGAACATCTGGCTTCTCTTTAAGTTTGAACTGATCAATAATCTCTTGTCCGTGGAATAAAACGGTGTGGATTATTGTTGCCAAAATGGAAGCAAAAGATAAACCGTAGGAGATGGCAAATGTGGTTGATAAAAACAATGGTGAGTACTTTTCATATTCGTCTTTTTTAAATGTCAATGTTTTTGAGTCAACGATTTTACTGACCTGGTATGTCTGTTGTTTTCTATCAAAAGATCCAGACGATGAGATTGGCACGTAATCACCATACCATGTGTTGGTAAATGAAATGGCAGGAACAATAACCCAGAAAATGATCACCATTGAAAAGAAAATCGTACCAATAGTACTAGCGGGTGGAATCAATGGTGAACCGATATAACCAGCAATTTGATTCCAATCTAATGAAAAGGAGTTAGGAAACATTCCCAAACCTGAACTTGATCCAAATATTTGATTAATAGTGACATTATTTGGTCTAATCCAAGTGATCCATGAGAAGTTGGACAATGCAGTAAAGATGTAACCGGGGAACCAGTAGTAGAAGAACCCCAGGGTAAACACAGTCAAGAAAAATGCAAGACGAGATATCTTCCAACCATTAGCTGGATGATTTTCATTAATGTGCATGTTGGTTAAAAAAGTACTTGTAACCAAGTTTTGGGGCCAAATAGCCGATGGACTGTCAACAACAGCTCGCCTAATCAACCCACCCATTGAAAACCCAATCATATTAGTGGCAAGGGTACAAACAAGAGCAAACCCAATACCAAAGTCGATATTGTAAAACTTATTCATAGATACCAAGATGTCAGTGGAATAAGCGGGACCACTGTTGAAGGAAGCATTTGCCATGATAGTAATCACTGCGTGTTCTTTAATATTAAAAGGGCCAGGGTTTAAAGGAAGACCAAATATCTTCCAATTTTTTGGTACACACCAAGCCCAGAATCTTCCAATGGGGTAAGCCAAAATAGAAGTGACCAAGGTAGTAATAGTGATTGTTGGCGAGTGAAGGGAAAAGTACATATTCATGGCAGATCCAATAGTTGTCAAGATCAATCCTATAGTCCAACCTCTGATGGTAGCTTGTGGCATATCGTAATCATCTGAGCTAGGGACTGCAGCTCTAACTTCAGGATAAGGTGAGTCATCTTCAACATGAACACCAGCATAATCATCACCAATGATTTCATCAACCAAACGCGATGTAACGGGATCAAACTCTTGTGATTTGGACACCACTAGATCCAAATCGGGAACTTTCCTATCGGCTTCAAAATCGTCATTAACGATTTGTTGGGATACAATATCAGCTGCTTTTTCATTCAAGTCGTGGTTGGCGTGCTCTTGCCCAAGCTCGTTTTCGATGGCATGTCCACTACGGCTCAATATACTTTTGATCTTGTCCATCTGTAGTAAGAAACTGACTTTGAGACAGGGTGTAGACGAGGAAAATAAGGTTAAAGTAAAGCAAGGGTTCGAGGTAGACAAAGAAAAAGCAGTGACTGAAAATATTTTCCTCTGGAGAATGATTTTATTATATATAAAGCTTATTTACAAAATGTGGTGAAGACATACTTATCGGGAGACTTTATGCTGAAAAAGTTCATAGAAAGCGCCTGTCTCAATGTTTTTTATTGTCTTTGCATAAAGAGCTGCAAAATCAGCTAAAAAATTTCATTTTGTGCTACTTTTATTTATTTTTTTTTAACAGAGAAATGAAATTTGCCTACAATTGTTCTTTAATTATGAATAATTTACAAAGTTCCCCCCGGTGCGGAGTGTGTTAAGGCACCTAATTAATCTTTTATACCCCAACAAAACTATTGTCCTTTCTTCTTCCATACGGCGCGAGACGAAGGGAGGGGTGTGTGTGTGACTAAGATCCACCTTTACCCTTCCAAAGTTCTTGGCCATCTTCAAGAGTCATTGATCTTGTTGTTCGCTGTGTGTACAGTAATGAGCGCGTTTTTTTATTAACGAACAGGTGGCTTTTCATTTTTCCCTGGCTGGCGTAACTGCACGAGACCTCTGATAAGAGTAAAAATAGACCAATGATAGCATCCGTTGGCGATAAAGAAGAAAGGTACCAAACCACTCTCGACCGCTCTGTACGATCCTAGAAAAGCTTTTACTGCAGGTGCTAAAAGTAGGCGTTATTATTACTGCAGCAATCGTAAGGCATTTTGAAAGAAAAATTAAAACCTTAATAGGCTTTGCATTCCAACCGGCCCATTATTTCTTTAGTCCAAAATTAGTGTTCTACTTCGCATTATGCCGGGCGGCTTCAATTTATTGTCTGTTTTTGCACATTGTGCGTATCTCCAAATTCATTTTACATTTAAAAAGAATTTTCTGTTTTGGTAATGTCAAATGTTAGTCATTTAATTGTGTGTGTCTCTTGTGCGCGCAACTTATCTTTGATGTATTACAAAAGTTGTAAAGGCAATGTGTGTACAAAGGCGAAGAGAGAGAGTATGATGGACCAGAAGAAAAAAAAATTAAAAGACACCTTTCAATCGTACGGCACGAAAAAAAAGAAACTTTTTAGCCCAATGCGCAAATGATTAATGGCACAAACACACACAGAGGGAGACATTTATGTGTCTGATAAAGATAGAGAGACATTTTCTTACTACGACATTTATCTAACCTTATCAAATGCTATGCCAGAGTTATACACAAATATTAAAAACCCTCAACTCCTCGTCTTTCTGAGGCACATGTTCTCGTGCCACACCATCAGACGAAATAAACCACGATTAATTACTCTCGATCCTTTTACACAAAAGAGACTTTCTGCATATTCTATAACTTATGTAACCACTCATCAAAATACCATAACGATCATTTCTCATTGTTTGTGAAAAACCCTGCTTTAGATCTGGCATTGTTTAAAATACAAGTTAATGAACTTTATTAATATGTAATTGAGTTTATTCACACAACAACAATTGTTAAAGAGGATCTTGTGCCCAGTTTCAACAAACAATTAACGTATGGCGTCGTTTTTTAAGTTCATATTATCGTCACTCTTTGACCATGTGGCAACAGATAATTAACCAAATCCAGTCCACTCCTCTTCGTCCTCTCCGTCCTCTCCGTCCTCTAGTTTCTCACCACCCTCTGCCTCCTCTGCCTCCTCTTCAACACGATTTGCACCAGCTTTTGCTTCCTTTACAAAGCAAGCGGCGAAAAATCCAATACCTCCATCTTCTTTTGGATTGGATCTCACACAACCACCCGCCAATTGTTTACAAACTTCTGCATCCCTCGATAATGCAACAAATTCTGGTTCAAGTCCTCGTCTAGGCCACGTCGGAAGCACCTCTTCCCTCGACGCTAATCTCCAACCTTGGTCCTGCACTCGCTGATCTGAGAGCAAGTCAATTACTACCCTTTCGTTTTCCTCAGCATGTATTGAGCACGTAGAATACACAACCTTGCGAGCACCAGGAAACGATAATGCATGCTTCATAATGATTACTTGAAAGGATGCCAATTTTTCAAGTCTTTGATCGTTACTCTCTTCTTCATCCGATGCTCTACCAAAAATACCTGACCCACTGCACGAAGGATCAACAATAAGACCAGTAACGTCGGCAAAATCTTGTGGGTCAATCTTGGTGAAGTCATTATGTAATACTTGAATCAACTTCTTTTTACTTTTTCCAAGAGCTTTTTCACTCATTGTACGGAGTATATTTACTCGTTTCTGATCTCTTTCAACTGCATAGACAACGGAGCCTGAATCAGCAGGCAGATATGATGCTGCGTGTGAAGTTTTGTTCCCAGGAGCTGCACAAGCATCAATTACTTTGGCATGTTCTCTTTGGTGGTTTAAAATATGTGCTGGAAAGCAAGACGCACGGTCCTGGATAATCACTTCGCCCAATGTGTATGCCTCAGTCAGTGAAAGCTTTTCCTTTGGATGTATGCCGTACAAGTTGGGAACATAGTCATCGGCATAAATGAATCCTGGTTCCGCCAAGTCTTGAAATCTATTCACCGGTTGCAATGTGGCAAAAAATGGATGCTTTTTGAAGAATCTTTCTGGATCAATTTTTACCGTGTTTATTCTAAACCATCTCACAGGAGTCTCATCATCATTTTCCTTGGTCGGTAATTGGTCAACAGATTTAACCTTGTACTTTAATTTCAACTTGATAAACTCTGCCTGCAATCTTGTCTTGTGGGCTAAAACTGCCTCCTTTATCGGATGCTTCCCACTTTCAATTCTTCCCCTGGGACTGAATACCAAGTCGTGTACCAACAACGCCAACAATTCATTGCTGATTTTCGGTTTCAAGTCTCGTTGTATCTTGGACTTTTGAATGATTTGCTGAATATACTCTTTGTACTTTGTTGTGGAATACACCAACGCGAAAACGTGCTTTGGATTGGTCAACTTTCTATCATTGAATATACGTTTTTGAAGACTGCCATCGTCGTGTTTTAGAAACTTCTCAGCATCAAAGTATAACCTCATTGGCTCTTTGAGATGAGGGATGTTGCAAGACTCAAAAGAAAAATAAAATTTCGGTGAAAAATCGATGCGCAGTTTTCCAGTCCTCAAATGCGCTAAATCAATCTGGAGGTAATTTAGTTTTGTGGTTAGTGAACATCACTAGGAGTGAGACTACACTAGCCTACCAGTATAGCAATAATTAAAAGACCTCTCTTCCTCGAGTTCTAGCAAACACAGTTCTTTCACCACTGCGGTACCGCCATGAATTACACATGGGATCATTCATTTTTGTTTTACTGTTTTCTTATTTCTTATTTCTTTTTTTTTTTTTACTTTTTTCTTGACTGGGATTTTTTGTTCAACACACATTTCATCCACAGACAAGCCTTCAAATTTACACTGGCCTTTCTTAAAGCGAGTGAAAGTAACAAGGGATAATAATGCCACCGCCGTCACCTCCCCCAGATGCGTATAAACCAGGGACAAAGCTAGTTGTCGGATCACATCAGATTTCGATTATTAAATATATATCTGCTGGTGGTTTTGCCCACGTATACACTTGCCATATTGATCCAGCGTTTCATGGTTCCAACACTGCCTGTTTGAAACGAGTTGTCGTTCCAAGCAAATGGCAATTGAGCCTTCTTCGTCAAGAAGTGGATGCCATGAGAAGGCTACGAGGCAACAAACACATTGTCTCTTACATTGATTCCCACGCATCTCGATTAAACGAGCCTAATCACCACAACCAACAACAATACGAAGTGCTATTGTTGATGGAATACTGCGAGAATAATGGATTGATTGATTTTATGAACACAAGGCTAGTCAACAAGTTAACGGAGAAGGAGATAATAGACATAATGTACCAAGTGACAATCGGAGTCGCCATGTGCCATCATTTACGACCACCTCTTATACATCGCGATATAAAAATAGAAAACGTCTTGATTGATTCCAACCATGTTTTCAAACTATGCGATTTTGGGTCGTCAGTGAATTACATGGCGCCACCAAAGAACCCGCAAGAACTACAATTGATGAAGGATGACTTGATGCAGCACACAACACCGCAATATAGAGCACCCGAAATGATTGATTTAACAAAGGGGTTCCCTGTAGATGATAAGCTGGACATCTGGGCATTGGGTATATTTTTATACAAATTGTGCTACTACACAACTCCATTTGAACTGCCCAACCAATCGAACTTGCAAGATTTGGAAAGAGCCATTTTGAATTGCTCAGAGACATTGAGATTTAAGGACCAGCCGGGGCTGATGTTTTCACCCAGATTGAAAAATGTTATTAAAGTATGCCTACGGGCAGACCCCAGGCGTCGACCAAATGCCGTACAACTATTGGGAGAATTGTGTCAAATGAAGGGGCAAACTAAGGTACCGAATGTTATCCCAGCTAGTATCTTGCAAGCAGCTACGACTGATATAAAGAAGTCGGTCAGCCCATCTGCTCCAGAAGCAAAGAGGTCGGTCAGTCCACCTGCTCCAGAGACAAAGAAGTTGGTCACCCCACCTCTCCACCACAACAATGCCAAAGCTAAAGCAGGCAAATCTGTTGACGCTTTTGCAGCCATTGATAAAACAAAGTTTATGAAAAAATTGGATACAAAGGCAGTTTCGTCTCCGTTTGAGCTGGAACCAAAACGGGCAGTAACACGTCCACTCAGCGCCTACTACGACAATGGTCACAAGCCAAAGATATACGCACAGGGGAACAAATCTACACCCTCAGTTCAAGATAAAGTCAAGCAGGAACTTGCCAGAGGTTATGAAACTACCGACTTGGGTGAAACAGAAGACACTATGAAGTTTTTGAAAACTAAAGAGAGTGAGAGTCATGATGGAAGTATGAAATCGGCTTGGAACAGCTTGAGAAGAATTAGCACAGGTGGAAGCAATACCTTGAGAAGGATTAGCACAGGAGGGAGTATCAGTGCTAATAATACAGGCGCTTCGGATTATGGCAGTAGAAGAAAGAGTCTCAAACAAATATTAACTGGAAGTAGAAGATCGTCAGATGAAAAGATCGATCCAGTGACTTCGGACGAATCTGTGGAGAAAGAGAAGCTGATTCAAAAACGAATGCAGGCACTTCTTGCTCAAAGTGAATCACAACAAGTTCACAAGACTGCACTGGGCTACGGAAGATTTACTGATAAAAACGTGGTAGACGATATTGACTCCATCAATGAATCTCCGTATACCAAGAAACCACCAGTAAAAAAATTGGCGCCTCCCAAGGTCCCTGTAAATTTGTCCTCGTCGAGACAGCACAAATCGCCTACGCCAGACGCTGCGAAACCACAAGTTCTGTCAAATAAGCACTCGCATAGACCCAAGTCTTATGTTGCACCCACACCCTCACCCAAACCTGCATACAAACCCAAGCCAAAGCCAAAGCCCAAACCGCAAGTACATCACGATAACCCCAAGAAGCCACCTCCAAGCAAGCCGAAAAAGCCGTCTTTTCTCAAATCGGATCAACAACCATCTCGAAGACTGAGTACAGGCAGTGACTTATCGCTACCAGATATAGATGACTTAGAGAAGCAATTTTCAAAAAGATTCCCCAATTATGTCTAGATATATTATTGCATCTATAAAAATAAACAATTAAAATAAAGAAGGTGATGTAGTACGTTGCGCTAATGAAGAGATAAACTCTAGAAAAAGTCTCCAAAAAAAAATTGAACAAAACCGCGGGACTACAATTTGCTATCCTTCTTGGTCAAAGTGAGATCAAAAGGTGCATGTTTTGCAAGCTCATACCCGTAAATATCCTCAAGATCACCTCTTAACAACTTACCAAACTCTTGATCATGCAACGCTTTTCTATCCCCCTTCAAGACAACTTCAGGAATTTCCGATCTCTCTTTTGTATAAACTTCATCTCTCTTTGTCAAGAAATTCTTGATAATTGCAACAACTTCGTCGGGTTTTTCAGCATTGACTAAATGTTCTCCATCTTTAATATCAACACCACCAACAAAGTATTGTGGATCAATAGCACCTCTGACCCAAGCGACACTCTCGGGTGGATTCCATTTAGCTTTGGACCCAATAACGTGCAAAAATGGCACACGCAATGCTGGTAATGCCAACATACCTTTAGGAAGCGACATCATGGAGCCCAAATACGCAGCTACTTGGACATCTTTCAAACACTTGACTTTATAAATATCCTCACCTTCTTCATTCTTGGTCTTGTATATTTCATCCGCTATGAAATCATTCATCACTTCTGGGTGAATGAATTTGGTGAAGGAAAACTTCTCGAAAAAGAATCTAGCATCTGTTTCGGTGTCAAAAGTATCCAATATTAGCTGAGAAATCTTGTTGAATAACTTGATGTACAACTGGGCATTGTCGGGGGTACCAAACAAAACCGGCTCAATAGCCACTACTGAATCAAATAAAGTCGGTTCCAAATATGCCGCGTATGTGGCAACAAACCCGCCCATAGAGTGGCCGATAATCACCGTCCTTGAATTGAAATCATTCTCCAAATCACCAGTAGTACGAGTTTCATGCTGAACAACTTCAATAACATCTCTTGCACCATCATCCCATGTGTAAACGGGGCCCAATTTTCCATCATTGGCTAAACTTGAATCACCATGACCGACTGCATCAGCACTGATAACGGTGTCTAAAAACCATGGCACTTGCAACGACTGAGAAAGCTGATATAATTTCTTTATATGATAGTTCCAGATTGATTTATTGAATCCTGTTCCATGGCAAAAGACCAAATTGTAAGTCAACTGCGATTGGGGGTTTGGACGGGGACAGTTTGATTTGTATTTATTGTACACGACAGTCAAGTTTTTGGCATCCTCGGCTATTAAGGTAGCACCATTAGCTCTAATTGGATGAGCTTTAGTTTGTTTCTTTTCGAGTGTGAATGACATTGGTCTTAGAATAGAGTAACTTAACTAGTTACAATTTGGGTATTATCCTTTTCGCCCTAGGTGAACGGTTTTTATATAAATTACAAAAAAACACTGCGTGTAGTGTCTGTGTGGGGCAAATCATAGAACAGAATTGCACAAAGGGGAGGGGGGAATTGTGAAATTTATATTTCCTTTGCTAGATGAAAAGCGGAAAAATTCAGAAAAGGTTTCGTCGATTGAGACCTACCACATCTCAACTTGAGCTACTTCTGTCGATCGTAGAAAATAGGTGCTAAACTGTGACTATATCCCCAATCAAGAGATCGATGATTCTCTCTCTATATCTGTTGCGATAAAAATAGCATTTAATGAACCGCGGAACAAATATCAGGTTTCGCAAAATATCATCAGACAGTGACATTTTTCTATCTGAATGCGACAATGGCTAAAAGACATAACAATCTATTTATACGACAAAGTATGTACAATCACTCCTCCGAACTCGAGTAGTCCTCTATGCTATCCAAAATGTTGTCTACACCTTCATCAAATTTCTCATTAATTACATCAAATAATCCATCTCCTTTAGCTTTCAAAACGCGACCAAATTTTCTTCTTGGTCGTTTAATCTCATCCCCATTAGAATCACCCGATGATGATCCATTACCAGAATTACTCCAACAAGCATTTAAATTACTGGTGAAAATTGTCGAATTGTGGTAAAACCAATCAACCATACTTTCATCCATGACTGGATTTATAGGTTTCAATGGCGTTCTATTGACGTAAGCGATGGTGAATTTGACCAAGCTTTTGATATCTGCTGATGGACGCTTGCTGAATAAGTGAACTATACTTTGATAAGAATCCCCAAATCCGACAAAGACCAACTTTTTCAAATTGGCAAAGAATGAGATGTAGTTGTCCCAAAGGTATAAAAGTACCTCTTGGGCAAAAATGGTTGGGTTATATGATGACTCATGAGTTGTTGACAAGCCGGGTATTGGCAACTGGAAAGAAGGAACATTGACATCAATATAACCAATTTTGTCTTTGTTATCTTTATCTTTTTCCTTCTCCACTTTGTCCATGATCTGAAACAATGGTTGCTCTAATACTATTGATGAGTTGCTGTCGATAATACCAGTGGTGGGGTTTATATTTGCCCATATTTCTGGTGGATCATGTATTGTTACTACGATAGACGTGCAATCAAAGATATCTGGACTTGCCATTATTAACTCCTCTGCTTGTTGAGGCAAGTCGCACGTAAAGTCAGCAGTCTTTTTATCACCCTTATCGTGATTAATAATTGGAAGGTTGATGAATTGCTTTCTGGAGAATGCCTCGTTGTTTTGGTAGGTTCGTATTGGATCAGCTATATTGGATAACTTGTACCTTTCTTTATCAAGGTCAGGTAGATCATACACATCGTCAAATACAGTCTTTGGTATTCCCGGTTTCAAGCATTTCCAATATTTGGATTGTATTTTAGCAACTTCGTCAACAACCTCGATCGCGTCTCCATGAGGTTGCATTTTGATCGTATTTTCGGGTGGTTCACCAAGTAACACTTTGGCCACAGCCAATGCACTGTTACTAATCGATGTCAAGTTATATCCACCTTCGAGAATAACTGCCAATTTTCCTCTAGCTATCGCTTTCAACAAGTGGGTCATGTACCCGTATCCCGCAGGACTGACGTGGCACGCACCGATTACATCCCCATCGGCTGCGTCGAATCCTGAACTGACAATGATCAAGTCAGGGTCATATTCTAGCATGACTGGGATGATTATCTTGTTAAATGCATACACGTAGTCGCCATCGTGCATTCCATGTGATCGCCAAGGGATATTCAAGTTGAAGCCCTCACCAGCACCTTCTCCAACTTGCTCAGCCCCACCATACTTGGTTCCTGGATAAAATTTACCATTTTCGTATCTGTGTAGTGAAATGTACAACACCCTTGGATCATCATAAAATGCTTTTTGGGTTCCGTTACCGTGGTGGATATCCCAATCAAGAACGACTATTCTTCGTACTGATTCAGGGTATGATTTTAAAATATTTTTGGCAGCTACTGCAACATTACTAAACAAGCAAAACCCACCAGGAGAGTCTGGTTCAGCATGATGTCCAGGAGGTCTGACTGCAGCAAGTGAATTTTTAACTCTTCCTTCAACCACGGCCTTGCACGCCTCAATAGCACCACCGCAAGATAACTTGGCCGAGAAAAATGAATCGTTATTGACATAGATGGAATCTCCATTCGCCGTTTCTTTCAATAACTCATCTTTGGTCATTGTCTCTGTAGATTGAATGTGCTTCAAATGCTCTTCTGAGTGAACCTCTAATATTTCATCGGCTGATGCTTCTCTTATTGGAATCTTTTGCATATAAGGACCCAATTCATCAATACCTGATAGCGAATAATCTTGAACGAGTCCGGCTTCGACTAATTTTTTGTAAATTCGGTATATACGACGTGGATCCTCTGGATGCGGGTCAGTGTACTCAAAATAGGACGTGAAAATCTTGGCATGGTATCTCATTCTGACATCATATACCAAACCTGTCTTTAGGGGAATATAAAACAACTCTGGTTTAGCTGGTGGCACAACAACAATTGGGCGTGGTTGTGCTTTTACCACATGAAGTTCATTTTCTTTAATAGCGGTGGACCCATTGACTTTGTTAGAGCCATTTTCTTGCTTGATGCCATTATCAACATCGTCATCTTCTTCTTCAAGCTTAACTTTTTTCAAAGGTGGTTGCTCAGAAATAGTGGGGTCCACACTAGCCTCTTTTTTGGCTGGAGTTTCAGTTGCAAGTTCCTCACGTGGCGCAGGCTCCGATTCACCTTCTTGCTTGATTGCAACATCAACATCAACAGCATCTTCATCTGCCTTTGGCAGTGGCAGCTTCCCATCAGTGTTTGAATTGTCTTCCAACTTTGCATCCATTTTCAGCTCAGTAGCAGAATCTGAATGCACGTCCACAGACGCAAATTCTTTTTTCCACTCGTCAGACATTACTAGCTAATAGCGAAATGTGTCAAACTCGTGTATAAATCCAGAATGAAAGTAAATGAGAGACTAAGATATAAAGCAGTTGCTCGCTAGTTGTTATTTTCCAATTTGCTCGATTTTTTTATAAGTTGACTGTGAAAATTCAGCTGAAGCTTTAGAAAAGATATCAAAGATGGTTGTGAATGTTTATTTTTATTTTTTTTTTATTTTTTTTTATTTAAATTAATTTTTTTTTCAATCTCTCTCGTTTTCTTTTATTTTATTTTATTTTTTTCTTTTTTACTTTTTCCCCTTCATTTTGTGTGAAATACTTTCTATAGCCTTGCAAAAATGGTTTTCTAGTATCAAGAGATATTTTTTAAATAATCGTTGTCGCACTTTATTTAACGACACGAGACTGACTCTTTTTTATTCCGACATTAATCCGGAATATATTTCTGAGTCATTGAACTTTTACTTAGTTATTATGTACAACACACAACCCTCATGTCGTTATTAGTTCCCAATAGTAACGATTACCATGATGCGCATGGTGATATTGATCAGGATGCATTATATCACCGGTTAATCACCGAGCGGTACTCGCTGGCTCCCGTATGGAAGTTTTCTCCACAACAAGGCTTCTTCAAACAATCTTCACCAGACACAAATGACATGGAGTTTAGATACACCGAAGAAGATTTAGGCATACAGAAACCTTGGGAATCCATAGTTGAGAAAATAAATGAATTGAATGCGTCTGCATCTTCCAATGTCCAATACAAGCTAATTTTCTTTGCTCGGCATGGACAAGGGTGGGCAAATGTTGCTGGACGCAAATATACCAAAGAGGAATGGTACAGCAAATGGCGATTCTTGGGCACTGATGGTGAAATTACATGGGGCCCTGATGCTGATTTGACGGAATTGGGAATCAAGCAGGCGTGGGAGAATCACAATGTTTGGAGCACCCAGTTGGAGAAAGGAGCCCCGTATCCGAAATCCTTCTACGTATCTCCACTTCAGCGATCAATTAAAACGCACAATATCACTTGGCCCAATACGAACCCATTAGTGGTGGAAAATTTGCGAGAAACTATTGGATTGCACCTCTGCCATAAACGCTCAACCAAGAGTCAGCTTCGTGCCAGATTCCCCAATCTTGTGTTTTCGGAAGACTTTGAAGAAGATGACAAACTTTTTAAAGAGTATGTTTATCCAAGAAGAGAGCATCTACACGAGCAATTTGCTAGAGTCCATGATGTGTTGCAAAATATCTTTGAAAAGGACGAGAATGACATCATCAGTATAACTTCCCATGCAGGAACCATTAGAGCATTCATCACAGTCATTGGTCACAGAAAATTCACCATTCCTACAGGAGGTATGATTCCTATCGTAGTAAAAGGTGTAAAAGAGTGAAAGGTATCATCTCATCTGGAAGACCTAAAGAAAAAAAAAAAAGAAAAAGAAAAATTTATTGCGCACAAAAACTTTGAAGATCATCTACATAGACTTTATAGACAATTTAGATCAGAAGTATTACTTGCAATAGATACTAATTGTGCAATGTCAGAGGCGAAGAGAAAGAATACAGACCATAATAATTCAGCATCTGCAAAAAGATCAAAGACTGTCAAGTCTAAAAATCCCGTCAACCTGGATACGCAACTATCAGAATGCTTCAAGACTGTTTCCACCTCGCTTTATGTTTCATTGGCACCTGCATTCATCAATGACCCCATCCTAGGAATCAAACAACAACATCTAGATCCACTAGTGATGAGGTTTCATCCAAAGTTAAAAGGAGTCATACTATCTTACTCAAACATATCGTTGCAGTCTGAGGCACAGGACCAAAACCTTGCTAAAATCGAAGGTTCTTCCCCATTTACATTCCTTTGGGTCGACGTGCAGTTTTTAATTTGGAGTCCAAGCGTAGGTGATGTATTGGAAGGAGACATTTTCATCCAAACTCCGTCACATTTGGGATTGTTAATCTGCGATGTTTTTAATGCATCCATAAAGAAATTCAATATCCCCATGGGATGGACTTTTACAAATAGTCAACAAGATGAAGTAGGTGGAACTGATGATAAAAAGACTTATGGCTACTGGAGTGATGAAAACGGACAAAAAGTTGATGGTAAATTGAAATTCACTGTCAAGAATGTGTACACCACTGGAAGAGTTGTCAGTGTAGAAGGTACTTTGATTACACCTGGCGAAGAACGAAATGCTCAGCCCGTTTATAAAGAAAAGAACAGCTCCCAACCAACAGGTAAACACAAGAAATTTGATGATGATGATGACGACAATGATGTGAGTGGGACTGTGACTACAACTGAAATTGCCGAGCCAGATGAAAACGAAGACTTGCCTGCTTATATCAATGAGAGTGAAGATGCAGATGAAAATGAAGATGGACAAGTTGTAAACAAGTCCGACTCAGCCGAGGATGAAGTAGAATCCGATTAAATAGACTATTTACAAAAGAATTAAAACAAAACAAAACAAAAAAACAAAAGAGTAAATGTCTATACACCCTAATATCTTGGTCTATCATCATTAATCATTCTCCAAATAACGTCCTTCTCTCGTTTCGTAGGTCGGTCGAAATTCTTTCTCCTGTACGTACCGGAACCGAATATTAATCGGCGTAGGAACAGACTGTTTTTCCTAATTGTCGAAGAATACATGGACGACACATTCATTGAGGTATCATTGGTTCCCATCATTGTGAGCTTTTGAACCTTGTGCAACTTTTTGAAATTGTACCAGGTTATAATTCCACCTTGTATTAGAGAAAACACCACAACTGCTGCAAACCCCAAATTCGAATCTTCGATATAATTTTTCAAATTCATTCCGTAAAAGGCAGGTATTAAAGTTGCAACAGTTATACCCAAAGTGTAAACAGTAACCTTCAATTCAAATAGCATAAGGGAGTTTCTATTGGCGTCGAGAATGATATTTACAATCTCCTCAGTTGCTCTAATGTCATTCAACAAACTGCCTGCTTGTTGGACGCATTCATCACATTGTCTATAATAACTCTCCAAGATCATTTCTAAATCCTCATAACTCTCTTCTTCTTCATGTCCCGGCACTTTCGGTTTACTTAAATACATTCCTGCCAAATCTTCATCATTCTCCAACAACTCCTCCAAGACATCTCTAATTAACAATGCCTTCTGGTGGAAACTAGACAACTGCTTCAGTCGTATTAAAAGCTCTTGTAATTTCTTTCGGTCGACTTGATTCTCTAGTTCGCCCAATATCATGCCACAACTTGAAATGTAGGTCTTTATTTCCGCCTCCAAATAGCTCATTACACTAACCAAGATCAGCTCCAATGCTCTGAATTCATATGGCATGGATGTCGAATTTGACGACGATTTCAACTTCATTTCTAAATCATACATCAATATGCCCAATTTGGTCGCCACTTCGCTATTCGATGTGTCAAACACCATGACCGAATTTTTCTTTATTATGGCTTTTATATACAACAAGTTGACAAGGATGGCATTTGACGGCCGTATCATAATAGTCGGTATGACATCAATAGATGAGGTATCAATCTTTCGCAAATCTCGTGGAAATAGGTGGTTCTCCTTCAAGAATAGCATCTTGGGATATTTTTTGGACACGGCAGTGATATTACCTTTCGAATCAAATACTGTGCATGATACGTATACATCACTTGGCTGTATCGGCTTCAACTTACTTAGTATCACATGCTGATCATTGTGTGCTTTTCTGTCGAGTGTTGGTTCAGAAAGACTTGTGTTCAAGGGAATGTGTCCTTTAGTGAACGTCGTTAGTGGATGGCAATGTAGTTTGGGTCTTCGGAAGAGAAGACTAGACCTAGGTAGCTGTTGTTGGAATACTCGGTGCATGAAGTGGAGGATAAAAAGCACTGGTTATCTACCAAGGCTTGGGTTTTCATGTGTGAAGAGATTGTCGCGCAGCAAAACCGATGCGACTAAAGGACCAAATTCAAGTTTCTTTTTCTGACACACCACGAATCTCTACAAGTTCCAAAGCTGATTTGTTTGCCACTATCTGTCCTTTCACACGAATCCTCTACAAGTTCCAGCATTTTCGGGTTAAAGATTTATCTTAATTGAAGTGTATAAAGAAGTAAACAAAAGAGAAGATAACTTAATCAAAAAACTTTCTTGTAGGCGAAGGTCCAAATAATTCTAGTCTGATGGCAGGTAAGGCTTCTTCTTGCAATATCTTCAATCTCTCCTCCAAGGTGTTTACAACCTCAATTTTACCGGTACCATTCACAATAATAGCTCCACCAGCAATATCCTTGCTCAAGAAATCTTTCTCATCAATTGAGACGTCAACTTTTTGCTTAGTTTTCTCATCGTAGTTTTTAGACGCTTCCTTTGCGGCCTCTTTCGCAAGTTCGACATCGGCTTCTCTTACCTTGACAGATACTTTGCTTTCTAACAAAGTCAAAATACCTTCTTCGATTAATCCAACCAAAACAGGCTTGTACTTGGCCTTATCTTTGGTGATATTATGCAACTCCTTTTCAGCGTCGTCAAATATCTGATTCAAAATTTGGTCCTTCTCACCAAGGATTTTCAACCTGGTCTTGTTACCAATTGTCGACTTGGTAATTTGTTGAGCCAAGCTTGCTTTTTTCAATTTTTGTTCGTAGGTGGCATCAATGGCAGACGTTTCCAATCTCACTGTTGAAGCCTTTTCAATTTCATACTCTTCATCTGCTTTCAACTTGATTTCCTTGGCTTTTTCCTTAGCTTCCTTCTCGATGAAGGCTTGCATTTTGCTAAGCTCGGATTTCACCTAGTAATTGCGTTAGTAAACTTCCCATTTAATACAATACGGATTGGCTTCCAAACATACTTGTTCGTCCAGTAATGCCATTTTGAAATATGTTCTATATCGTTTATCCTGTTGATGGACGCTGCGACCAATCGTTCTATCAGTAGAATTGACGTTTTGACTAACAATCTCTCGTTGACTTGAAAACTGAGAAAAATTCATTATCAACCAACATTTTTTGAACGTTGCGCACGCAAAAAAATCGAAGGTTTGCACACAGTATATAAGCAGAAGCACAGTTTTTATATTTTTTTCAATAAATACGCCTGTATAATTAGTCTATACCTATACAATCTTGTCCAAGGCGTTCTTGGCAAGTTCAACACCCAAGAAGGTGGCAGCGTTGGCAGGGAATGATCTAGCCAAGGCAGGACCAACACCGGGGAAGAAAGCTTTGATACCACCCTTTGCGTAAATGTTTCTCGTAGTTTGGGCAATTGAAACAGGTACATTCGACGATTGTTGCGTGGACTTGATGGTATCAATAGGGAAAACACCCAACCACATGGCAACACCTGCGAAACCACCTGCAGTCATAATAGCAAAAATGGACAAATCCTTTCCAGGAGTTGACAATTCCTTCTTCAAATATTCGTAAGTAGCGAAATATAATGCAGAACCTGGACCGTCTCTTGCCAATGTAGCTGCCGAACCCTTAAAGATCGATCTAATACCACCTGTCTTGTACATTTCGACTACAACACCACCCATGCCTTTAGATTTTGCACCTTCTTGAATTTGCATCATAACCTTGACTCTTTCAAAAGGAGCAGCAACTAGAGTAGTTGGAATAGCACTGATGAAACCGGCAGTTGAGATATCGCCAATTGTAAATTGCTCAATTGCTTTACCAGTGAAGGAACCAACCAATTTCTTACCAACATCGTAACCCCAGAATGACACTGCAAACATAGGTGTAACCCCCAACAATGGTGGCAACACACCACGATAAAGACCTCTCAACCCATCTTTGGCAATTGTCTCCTTGACACACTGTACAGATGAATTGTACAACCCAGTTTGTAATCTAACCTTGACCAAGTCAAAGGGGTGTCCAGTCAAGACAGCACAAATACCACCAAATCCACCGGAGGCAAACGATTTGACATTATCTACCAATACTGAATCAACGTCGTCCATTATGAATAGTTATAAGAAAATGTAATGAAAGTTTGAGTGTTTTTTATTTTTTTGATATGTACCAATGAAAATGAATAAGCACGATTTGGAATGTATATATTTGTATAAGGATTGTAGTTGTGCAAAAATGTGCTAAAAACGAATCGGAGATGAATACAATGATGCAAATGAATAGCAAAGATGGACCAAATGGAAAGAAAAATGCAGTATGATATATGGAGAAAGAGATTTTTGCGTGTTTTTATATATTAAAACCCCAAAAATTTAAATCATAAGAAATATTTATTTATTGAAAAATTCAAATTGGGGGTGTTAATAATTGTTGTATAAAACAGAAACAAACAAAAAAAAAGATATGGGGGACTTTTGTGTTATCAAAGGTGAGAGTTGTTTGAGAGAGAACCCCTACATTTGATAAAACTGGACCTGCATTGCGTAATGGGGATGCTGAGGTGCACTAAATAATGGTCTCAGTCTTTTCTAGCTCTCTTGTGACTACTTGCCCTTACCTATCGTCTCCACCCCACTTGGTGAAAATTAAACTTACGATAAATCGGGTTTTTCTGATTTCTCTTTCTCTATTTTGTTTTTTTTTTGTTTTATTTTTTTTCTCTTTTTCACCGAGGTTCAATGGCAGATAAAATGCTCGGTTCATTATCTCTGTGTCATTTTAATTTTTATTCAAACTACTTGTGGTAAATGTTTTCCATGCATGGGGCAAAAACGTACAGAATATACAATTAACCCGATGTGATGTTTGGTCCGTATTTTGATACATCGTGTTGTCATTACCAGCACGCATACTGCGATTGCAATTGGCTACATTCTAAAGACAAGTTTGTAATATCAACGGCCAAACTCCGATATTGCATGTGAGTGTATTTCGAAGTCAAGTACAATTTCTTCGGGTTATGAAATTATCTGGGTACTTGTGTAGCATCAACTTCTGTAATCGAAACGTATGCGCTTACGAATCCACTTGAGTAAATTCAACTGATTATTCTGCACAATATCGAAGTGTGATCAAATTGGTATATTATCCGCCCCAATGGTGTTCCTGTATATTGGATACTAACAGTTACGAGATGCAAAGTTGACTTTCACCACAAAACATTTTCGCTAAAACAGGGGCCAATTATTTCTTTACAAAATAAAATTAGAACGGAGCTTCCTGCTTGCACACACAACACCATGATGTTACACATATCTTGAGATTGGTTCGAAATACACGAGTAGTGCCGTGTTTCATCAAACAACTGCTGATAAAGGCTATCATAGTTTGCCTTTGAGGCGATCAAAGAACACCTCATCTTTTAGAAATCTGCTCAACAGTGGACACAATAGTGGACAGAAAGGCAAGCATCCAGAACATGTGCAACCATTCCAAATAGGTTTTAATCAAATGTGTACGATACTAAATACAATCTTACAAGAGAAACCGCACGTGGCTTCTGTGAACCTGAATAATGGAAGAGTATCTAGAGGCCAGAAATTTAGAGAATGACAATCCAGTTCATTTGAGGCTCTATGCTCCACCTCCACAACAAGCTCATATATTGAGCTATTGGATGCTTTGTCTAGCACAATAATCCACATGCTTGGATTGATCCTTGCAGCAACTTGACTTCGTCAGGTTTAAAGGGATTGGCATTGCATACTTTTCCTCGTTTTCCAACACGACGGCCCTTACGATATAACAGCATGCCTTCCTCTACACAGAACATGTTCTTTTCCTTATTCAAAGCACCACCAACTGCCAACTTACCCTATTCACTGTATTAATCAAAAAGCCGCATGTGATTCCGCATTTGTAAATTATAACACAAATCGTTACAATTTATTTTTTTTTGTTTTTTTTGTCCACGACAGCGAATCAATTACAGACAGTGCTTTGAGTCTGTATCCAATTTTTACTTCGACAACTATTTTCAGAACGGAGATAGATAACCACATTGGCAAATCCATCATTTACACCGGCAATCCATTAGCCAAATAGAGCTCATTCTATACTAAAACCACCTACAAACCCCCTGCCGTCAATTTTAGCCTGTGGTTGACGCATGTTCACTGAATGGAGCAAGACTTTATATTTTTGCCATCGCCCCCCTGTTCGTCAATTTTCATTGGACAAAAGAGTTCGACATTAAAAAAAGATTTTTTTTTCTTTTTCCAAAGTCAACACGAAAACACCCACACACCAATAGTCAAGGCGCGTAAAGATTGATTTTCCAACTTTTGCTGGGCCAGTTAAAGATCGCCAGCCCAACCTTCGAAAAAGCACACCGGATTAGTAGTCAGGACTTGTCATAGAGTAAAGGGTATTGTGTCCTGGCAATGGCAATACCACCTGCAAAAAATGATAGCAAAGCCAATCAACATGCCGCTGGTGCTCGGTTTCGTCAACGAAAAATATCGGTTAAACAACCGTTGTCCATCTATAAACAGAGTGATCTACCGACACTAGATGGCTCTGAGTTGGAGCCGAGTCAGGTGCATCATCTACATTCAAATAATATAGGACAACCAGCGCGTGATGTTCACGCAGTTGAAACGGGTGTCGATAAAAATGAGGAGGAAGAAGTACACTTGCAAAAGGTAATCAATGCGGCTCAGAAAGCGTTATCGAGCGCAAGTTCTGGGAAAGCAAACGAAGTGTATATACCGACACCGGATGCTTCTAAAATCTGGCATGAGGCTTCAAAGTATTATAAGGATCAGAAGTTTAATGAGCCAGAGACATACATTAAATTTAGTGCCACTGTGGAGGATACCGTTGGCGTTGAATACAACATGGACGAAGAGGATGAAGTTTTTTATCGAGAAGTTCTTTCCAAAATTCAACCAACAGGAAAAAGGAAACAAGATGACCTGGGAAAGTGTACCGAGCTCGAATTTGAAACGATTTGTGACCGATTGGAAAAAACAATTGAGACTAGACAACCCTTTTTGTCGATGGATCCGTCGAATATATTGTCATACGAGGAAATGTCAAAGTATATTATCAATCAATTTGAAAGCACAATAAAAACCAGCAACCCGTACATTGAATCCAGCGGTGGAAATTTGGAATACCTATCCACAACAACCCTAAAAGAGAGGCTCTCAAAGGAAATTAATTACAAACCATTCACAACCCTTTTTGATAGAGACCAGGAGCATACAACACAAGTGCGGCCGATTCCTAAATTATTTGAACTTTTCGGAAGAGCAGTATACGACCATTGGTCAAAGAGAAAAATTGAGAGAAAGGGACGATCGATTCATCCAACCCTTCGATTTGAGGACCCCAATGCAAATGAAAAAGATAATGAGAATGATCCGTACGTCTGTTTTAGAAGACGTGAGTTTAGGCAAGCGCGTAAGACAAGAAGGGCTGACACAGTTGGTGCAGAGCGTATTCGTTTGCTACAGAAATCACTTCATCGTGCACGCGACTTGGTAATGGGCGTTTGTGAACGAGAAATTTTGAATTTACGAAATTTGCAGGCTGAATTTGACATATTCAAAGTTCGTTCAGAGGCGAAGTCTATCAAGAGAGAGCTTGGAATCAAGGGCGACGATTATTTGTTCTTTCCACATAAGAAAAGAAGAATCATCAAACCCAAAGAAGACGAGGAGGAGAAAGAAAAGAAAAAGGAAAAGAGGAAACAAGAACAAGAGCAAGCTGCAAGAGCCCAGCAACAACAACAACAACAACAACAACAACAACAACACATCTTGCAACAGCAAAATGCGAGCCAGCAGAACCAAAGAGACGGAACATCCACAAACCAACCTTATGTCAAGTTGCCACCGTCCAAGATTCCAGATATGGATCTTGTTACTGTCTCATTAGTTTTGAGGGAGAAGAACGAGACCATCAGACGAGCTGTGTTGGACAAGCTTCGTAAACGAAAAGAACAAGATAGAGGGTTTGTCAATGTTACTGACGATCCTTATGAACCGTTCTTTGACATATCCACCAACGATAAATTGGTTGAGTCGAACCACATTCCGTATTCGTCTATTGCTGCTACTAATTTTCATCAATTCAACACTTCAAATTATTTAAGTGATCCATTGAAGACTTTAATAGAAGACAACAAATCAATACCAGGAGTTCGCACGTTTAAAGGTTCCAATGGTGAGTTAATACCTACAAAAGCCTTCCCTCATACCTCAGCGCTTCTACAGGAGAAGTTTACCAATAACAAATTCAACTCCCCAAGCTATATTGCCCAGTTGTTGCAAGACATTGAAAATAACAACTTTGATCATTATACACACGGGTTTGCCAAGGAGAGCACCGTTAATGCAGCAAGGGAAGCCGACGAGAATGCCAAGTTATCAGAACCAATCTTGAGACTACGAAAACGTGTTGGTAGAGGAGGCAGAGTGTTTCTTGATAGACGTGGTCAAACTACCCCTGATGTTGCTGACGAGTTTTTAGACTTTTCTGAAATTTGCGAGGGTGAAGAAGAAGTGACAAATGTCTACGACAGCAAAGTAGATGAGTGGAAACGATTGAGGTCAAGATGGAAGTATGATACTGATTTGCTGGAGTCCCAGAAAGGAGCCCTTGATCCATTCAGTCTCGATCCTTCTAAGCTCAATAATATCAGTGACGACACACAGGCAATCAGATTTGGATCGATGTTACTTTCCAAATCGTATGGACTTTTGAAGGAATCAATTCAACAAAAGCAGCAATCCTTTTTGCATCTGGCGCGGATGAGAGCACTACAACAACAACAATTTGCAAATAGACAAGCTCAGGCACAAGCACAAGTTCAAGCCCAAGTTCAACACAAACAATTGAATAATCAACCCCACAACGAGCACGCACAGTCATCTTCTCCCAATCAGCAGGTGCAAAAGCGTCCACAGTCGGAACGAAAAAGTACTCCAAACTCCATCAACAGTTCCAAACCTCTTTCCCCAGCACAAAACTCAATCAATAAACTGGCAGCACACATTCATTGAATGAAAAGACATTCATTACCCATTTAGGTGTATATATCTGTAATATAATAAGTATAAATAGAAGATAACAGAATTGTATCATTAGAACTAAGTAATAATTTGTAGCTTTCGGGCAAAGTAGTAGTAGTAGTAGTTTTTTTATTCCAGAGTTTGTCAGCAAAAAGAAAGTGTGGTTGCAAAGCGCAACTTTAAGGGATCTGCCACAAAATCTCCTCTTGATTATAAATACAGACGAATTTCTTCCACGAATTTCCAACTCAATTGTTTTAGCAACAGAAGAAACAAAAATAATAATGTCAACATTTAAGAATTTAATCGTCTTTGGTGCACATGGTAAAGTGGGCCAACATTTGATAAAGTTAATTGCCAAGCTGAGTGTCAATGCCACTGCAGTAGTTAGAAATGACGAGCAAGCAGCAACTATCAAGGAAATTTCATCCGGTGGTTCCAACATCACTTCAGCTAAATTAGATCTTGCAGATGCTTCAGTTTCAGACTTGGCAAAAAATATTAAAGGACACGATGCTGTGGTCCTAACTGTTGGTTCTGCTGGAAAGAATTTATTGCAAGTTGATTTGGATGGAGTGGTTAAAGCTTTTGAAGCTACTGTTGAGGCCAAAGTCAGAAGATTGGTCATTGTTAGTGCATTGTTTGCTGAAAACCGTGAGGCTGGGTTGAAGTCAGGACTTAGAAACTACTATATTGCCAAGCACTATGCTGACCGTATTTTGGTTGATGAATTTGGCGACAAGTTGGATTACACTATTGTCAAACCTACCATTTTGACCGACGATTCACCTAAAGGCAAGATCAGGATCGTACAGAGCCCCAACGACGACTATGGAACTATCACCAGGGCAGATGTTGCCCAGGTCCTCTTTGATACTCTCGGATTTAAGGACACATTTGGCAAGAGCTATGACATTGCTAATGGAGACAAGAGCATTGAAGATCCAAAGACCTACCAATAGTGGTACTGTTTACATGTCTATTAAATCTATATAGTTAAAGCAACACCCAATCAAAACAAACCTTCAATCTCTCCATCTTCATTAACTTCAACATTCATGAAACCGGCATGCGTAGGTAATCCGGGAATCGTCATAATCTCTGCAGCCAATGCGTACAAATATCCTGCACCTGCGGAACACCTAACTTCCCTGATTGGTACAGTAAAACCAGTTGGCACACCTTTCAATGCAGGGTCATGAGACAACGAATATTGTGTTTTGGCAATACATATTGGCAACTTGTCAAAACCTTGTTGGGTGTAAGTTTCAATTTGTTCCTTTGCCAATGGTGACAACTCAATGTCCTTGGCTCCATACATCTTCTGGGCAATCTTGTTCAACTTGTTTTCAACTGAATCATTCACATCATACAAGTATTGCTGTTCTCCGTGTGGAGCTTGCTTAACAGCTTTGACAACTGCTTCTGCCAACTCTTTGGCACCCATTCCACCTTTAGCCCAATGGTTAGATGGAACTGCATAGTCTGCACCGGCTTCCAACGCCAATTTCTCAATCAATTTAATTTCAGCATCAGAATCGGTTTCAAACTGGTTGATGGCAACAACAACAGGAACATTGTACTGCTTGATGTTTGAAATTTGCTTGGCCAAGTTAGCACATCCCTTTTCTAATGGTTCCAAGTTCTCGGTAACATATTCCGCTGGCAAGGATTGGCCTGGTTTGACATCAGGGGCACCACCGTGTAATTTCAATGCCCTAGTTGTAGCAACCAAGACAACAGTATCCGGTTTTAACTCTGAGCTCCTACATTTAATATTGAAAAAACGTTCACCACCCATTGTGAAATCAAAACCAGCTTCAGTAATCACAAATCCTGGGTGTCCACTATTAATTGGGTTAGATGGCGAGGTCAATTTTAGCGCAACTTTATCAGCTACGACAGATGAAGCTCCGATGGAAATGTTGGCAAAGGGACCTGCGTGCACAAATACTGGTGTTCCTTCAACTGTTTGCATTAAATTTGGTTTGATAGCGTCTTTCAACAATGCTGTAATTGCTCCAGCGACTCCGATATCTTCAGCGGTAATAGCTACTCCAGTTCCCTTCTGAGTACCAATAACAACTTTACCAACCCTTTGTCTCAAATCCTTGAGCGAGTTTGAAAGCGCCAAGATTGCCATCAACTCACTAGCTACAGTGATATCCATACCTGTCTTTCTTGGTGAATATTTGCTAGCCTCATTCTTACCTTCACCAATTGTAATCTCTCTCACAAATCTGTCGTTGCAATCAACCACTCTCTTGATGGTAATCGAGTCTGGATCAATATCTAACTTGGCAAACTTTTCAACTTCTTCTGGGGTAAGGTCATCAGGGTTTGTCTTGTTAATGCCTAATTTCTCTAACCTCTTTAACATCGAAGGTGTGAAACTTCTTTTGCCTTTTTTGGCTGGCACCAATCTTTTGAAAAATCCACCAATGGTTTTCGATGTAGCTTCGTGAAACATTCTCGTATCAACAGCAGCACAGAGCAAATTCTGGGCAGCAGAAATGGCATGTATATCACCAGTCAAGTGCATGTTAAATTCATCCATAGGTATAACTTGGGCATAACCACCTCCGGCTGCTCCTCCTTTGACTCCAAAAGTAGGACCCATAGAAGGTTGTCTAACATTAGCAATGGAGTTGTATCCCAACTCAGCACCAAGTGCTTGAGCCAATCCCATAGTTGTGGTGGATTTACCTTCACCCAATGGAGTTGGGGTTATACCAGCAACCAAGACATAGTATCCTTTATCATCAGCGGATCCTTCTACTTGGGCATCAAGCCTCTCAATTACTGCTTTAGCGTCAACTTTAGCTTTGTAATGGCCAAATGGCTCCAATTCTTTGTCCAATAATCCCAACTCCTTTGCCACTTTGGTGATAACTTTTGGCTTCTGAGCCCTCGATATCTCAATGTCAGATGGAACTGGGGTCTTTAAGTCTAATGGAAGAGGCTTGAACTTGTGCTCATGTGCCTTCTTCGCATGCAAGACAGCTGCATCATATACATTCGAGCACAACATTGCTACTGTCATGGGCCCAACACCACCAGGGACAGGAGTAATGAACCCAGCTTTTCTAACTACATCTTGATAGTCGACGTCACCAACCAATCTTCTCCCATTCTTGGCTGTTGGATCCTCTTTGTAGTTGATACCGACGTCAATAACAATAGCCCCATCTTTCACCCAAGATGACTTAACATATTCTGCAATCCCAACCGCAGCAACAATAATATCTGCCTTGGATACAATTTCTGGCAAATTGCTGGTGTAACGATGACAGATTGTAACTGTGCAATCTTCATTCCTTAACATAGTTGCAACAGGAGTACCAACGATATCGGATCTTCCAATGACTACTGCATTCTTACCCCTCAAGTTGATTCCAGTGGTCTTGATCAACTCCATTATACCATTAGGTGTACAAGGTTTGAAATGTGGAATACCTCCCTTTTTGGATAGTTGACCCACATTGTAGTGATCGAAACCATCGACATCCTTTTCCGTAATAACAGAATTTGTGATTAATGTCTCATCAATATGTTTGGGCAAAGGCAACTGAACTAATATGGCATGAACCTGGGGGTCCTTGTTCAAACGATCAATCTCATCGACCAAGTCATCTTGGCTAATATCCTCATCAAACTTGAAGAGGTTTGCTTTAATGTTGGATTTCTCGGCCGATTTCAATTTCGACCGCACATATGCCGACGAGTCTGGTCTTGAACCAACTTGAACAATAGTCAACGACGGTTTAAACTTTAGCTTTTCTAATGGTGCAGAGTCAATTCCGTAATGTTCTTTGTTGTATTGCAAAACTTTTTCAGCAACATCATTTCGTATTTTGGCAGCCAACTTGGTTCCGGATACCACGGTTGCATTTAATGCTAATAATGAATGTGAAAATAGCCTTTGCTGGGTAATTCTCAGCCTCAAGAAGGTATTGGTTGATCTTGATCTCAACATTATCGTTAAGTCCTTGAATGAAAGCGATAACTGTTATCCAATGAGTCGAACTCATTGAAAAAAAAAAAAGAGAAAAAGCAAAAAAAAAGAAACAATAGCGTCTTCTTTGTTACACAAAACCTTTTTATGTCAAGGAAGGTAGATACCGTTAGAATTCGATTTCTAATCTATAGGCTCAACTACGAGACAGTTGATCCAAATTGTCTACGTATAGTTCCCATAGTGAGATATTCTATCAAACCATACAACAAAATATATCAGGTGGACATTCATTCTTTCTCTATATTTACCATGTTTTCCTTATTCACATCGTCATTGGGTATAACCAAAGTAAGATCCTCAGCTGTCCGCAACTGATGCAACATAACTTGCGCCCTTGAAACACTTTGCTCATTTGTAGTTGACAATCCAAGCTTACTCTTTCTGGTTGTTAGTCTTCGCTTGAGATTATTGACACTCTCATATTCGTTTTCCACGGTAACGGAGTCTAATTCCGATGACAGGACTTCCATTTCTGATGCAACTGTTAGCATCTTGCTCCTCCGGTTCTCTCTTTTGGTCTTTGCCTCTTCGGAGGTAGACTTTAACTTTTCCAATAACGAATCGATTACAGCTGACGACTCTTCAACGCTATCGACAAAGTTCTTCTCATCAGTCTCTTCGGTGGGAGTTTTATTTGCTGATTCATCTTCAATTCTTTTCTTCCTAGCATCGTACACTCTCTGCTCCTCTTCTTTTTGAATATTTTCTACGTGTGCCTTTTTGAATTCAGTAACAAAAGTGATGATCTTTTGAAAAAAGCCATCTTTGGCTTTGGCGTCATTAGGATCTTCACCAAAATAGACCATCAATGATTTGAACACTGACAAAGTTCGCTTCATGCGGGACTGGATAAGCGCATTTCTACTAGTAGCATTCTGCATTGGAACCGTAATAGTTTGTATTATACGGTCAGATGGATGCAAGTCCTTTTCTCGACTTAGTTTCCCATGTTGAAGTGAATTGTTGATAATTTCCACTTCTTTATTCATCGCTTTACAGTCAACTTCCAATTGTTCAATTGACACGTTCTGCATCTCGGTTAAAAGCTCCAAGTCATCGACAAATGACCCATACTCGGAGAAAGATTGTCTGATTGTCTTTTCCATATAATGGAGGAAGCTCATTGAATTCAGTTCGTCTTTCATGTATTTGAGCCTTTGCAAAGAGTCCAACTTGAAACCACGTGCTTGTTTTGTATGCTCATTCATGAAATTACCCATGATCTTCATTATTCCCAACACACTTTTAAAGCTACCTGATTCTTTCACGCAAGAGATGCCTAGATCCACCAAATCCAACTTTTCCTTCAAGTGTAGGTGTTCTTTCTGATACGACTGTGTGAAAAGTAGTGCCTTCGATCTTGCTCTCCAATAATGCTTAAGATTGAAACATAATTCAAGGTACAATCTGTCTGCTCGGTCAAGTTCCTTGGGGTCTTTTTGAGGCTTTTTTCCAGTACGAGGGTCGCTTGAATACGGCAAAAGGTTTTTTGCCAAACTGTCACTAACTTCAACCAACGCATCATTATTGAAAAACTCAATAACACTAATATTTTCCAATATTTCAGGACTACATCGCAAAATTTTTATGACAAGAGCCTCATCTGACACTCCAGCAAACATATGCAAGTTTATACCAAACTGCTGAGCCAAATCTCTGGAAAGGAACGATACTTTTGCTGCCTTGGAATCAGTATTTGGCTTTCTGCTCTTTTCCAGGTCTGGACTTTTTTTCAGCGGTTGTGATGCCGCAAATATCTTCTCAACTTCCTCAAATATACCTTCCGCAGCAAGCTTTTCGGAGATGGAAGAATCCTCGAATTCATTCCAAAATGTCTTTTCAATGTCATTTATCTTATTCCAATGTAGCTGTTTTAGCTTTACCTTGGGTCTAATTGAAATGTCGGTGGATTCATTGCTGACGTGAGGGTCACATTTTGCAATAGCATTGTCGGTGGATACTGCCTCTGCTTTTGGTGGAGGAAGAAGTGCAATCGGTGGAGGAGGCGGAGGTGGGGGTGGAACTGGAGCTGGGGTTGACCCAATAGAACCATTTGAGGTTGTCAGCAAAGTAGACGCATTGCTTTGTGCGAGGGCAAATGGCGGTAACGGAGGCGGTGGAGGTGGTGGAGGAGGTACTGCTGCCACTGTTGTTATCACTGCAGCTTCTGCAATGGCAACTTTTTCAGATGAATTTATCTTAGTGTCTTCTTTCGTGCTTTTAGCAGTTGCAGATGCCAAATTCAGTAAAAATGGCGGAAGTGGAGGCGCCAGTGGCATGATTACCGTGCCAGAATAGGAAGATATTTTCTCCTTCTTCCCAATGCTTTCTAAAAAAGATGGTGACGGAGGCAGCGAGGGAACCAGCAATGTTTGTGGCTTCAATGAAATATCCACCAGAAGTTCATTACTTTTCTTGGTGGGGGTTTCAACCGTTGCAGTGCTGGCATCACGATCATTGTCTGTGCGTTTCGGTGATGCATTGTAATCAACTTTTTGTGCTGATAGGTTGGGACGTGAATATAGGAGAGGCGGAGTAGGTGGTCCTTTCCGAAAGTGCTTCTTCGGGGTCTCGTTCACAGAAATCCTCTCAAGTTGAAGGTGTGTAGAACTTACGCTCCGATCATCTGCTACCAGATCGTCATCAGTTTCATCTCGACTGTTGAGGTCTTCAAAGGAATGATTGACATTTCGATTTCGAAATGCCTTGGCCTTGTCTTGCTCAAGTTGCTTTATTTGACGCTGTAGCAAACTAATCTGACAACCAAGTGACTTGATCTCTTGTGATTGCGACTCGTTTTCTGCTCTTAATCCAGCTTTGTCTTGCAACTCGGCATTTTTCGAGAGTGTCTCGTTTAACTGCTTTTGTCGTTTCAATTCCTTCTTTAAGCTCTTTGTTTCAGCAATCGCGCTTCGAGCAATGGATTCTGTTGACAACGAGTCTATCAACCTTTCCAAGGTCACCGCAGAAAATAATTCCTTGTCGCCAGATTCGCGATACAGATTAGGAGTTTTCTCGAGTAAACAATCTAGAAGTAGAAGCACCTTATCTATAAGCCCGTGGGAGTTCAGGGAAGTTTCAAGAGCTGCTATTTTCAGAAATACTTTCTGCGCCATCGTGCTGTCATCACTATTTTGGTCCTCTAATACCAGTGCGTCTCGCTTCACTGGGCTTTTCCGTATACCGTAGGAAGCATTTAATTGCGTACTTCTCTCTTGAGGACCAAAGAATCCGAATTTCTTCAACTCGTTGAATTCTCCTGAAGCTGTATGTGAACTTGTCAGCATCGATGTTGATTCATACTCATCATCGAGGTTCGGAAGAGCTGGCAATGTTTTACTTTGCCTGATGTTTCTCTCCTGCTCGTCGCTTTTAGCCGAGTTTTCGTACTTCTCTAACTCTAGATGAATTCTAGCATCTTCAAACTGCTTGATTGTTTCAAATATTGAAAGCAAGTGGGACTCCTCAAACTGCTTTCTGATCGCAATTCGTTTACGCGCTGGGCCAGCCGCATGTACAATAACATTGATCAAAATAAGCGTGATAGTTATATAGTTCTTCAAATATGAATGATCGCTTATTTTACTTCCCCAGCTAGCCGATCTCAACGAACTCCCAAAAACCTCTAACCATGCTTTAAAGTGTGAAGTTTTCTTTTTACTCAACGACAAGTTACGCAAGTGGTTCACTATATTTTCCTGTAAATCTTTGTGTCTGTTTTTCATTAAATTGACCAAGACTTCTGTGACCAAAAACCTGGTACTCATTCTCGTAGACGTTAGTGCACCCATTAGCGAGGATATTATAACAGACTTGCTAATAGGGGTATCATCGCTATGGCCCACTTGGCTAACATATGCTTGATTTTCTAGTGCATTCTTCATACATTTGACGAGGAGATATTCATGGTTGTATTCCTCGTCTGACTTGATAACTTTTTTACTAATCAGAGATAGGTGCACCGCTAATGCCGTTTCACCCTGTATGGAAAGAAAGTTTTGGACCCATGTGATGTTCTCCTTGTCGAATAATCTATTCTCAGCTAAATTTTTCTCCAATCGCACCAAATTCTTAACATCAACGTCTTTATTCAAAAGTTTCCAGACAAACCATCCAGGTGAACCTTCACTAATCGGAGTCTCTCGATGCTGCTGGTGTTCCTTTGCATGAAGAGGTGGTATCTTCAGCTTCGATTGAGGCGGTAGATTATCTGATTTAGCTTTCAAAATTGTTTCAGGAACTTTGGGCAGGCTGCTTTTGGAATTTCCCGGTAGGGATATGCTCGACATGGATGCCATGGACATCTTATTTAAATCAAACGAGCTATTTGATTCATTTTCTGTTAAAAGAAGGTCCCATTTCCGCTCAGTAGACTGATTTCTCAAACTTAGTTTGGCTTTTTCTGGGAAAGCTCTTATCGAAAGCAACTTTTCAAACAATTTCTCCACAACTTCCTTACTGGGCACCTTGCTCCGGTTTATTGAAGCACGTTCAAACGTATCAATGGCTTCGTTCTGTCCCTGTATTGTTGTCACATGCAAAGAGTTTGCATTAGCTTTTGACATGTGTCTAATGGTGTGTATCCCTGGTTTTTAATCCTTATGTGAAGACTGTTAGGTTAGATTGTTGTGTGAGGAGAGGGGAAGGAAGGAGGGGGAATGTAAGTGAAATATCCAGAAAATAGCTTTCTATGGTTCATCCAATTTTTGAATGGGTGATCTCTAACTAGCAAAAAGGGTTTTGATATTGTGTGAATCAATGTTAAGTAAGAAGGGAAAGAAAAAACAAAGAAGAAAGGAATGTAATGCCGTGTCGTAAGTTTTACAAACGCGAAACAACAAATGAAAGAACAAAAAATGTTTCAAGAAAAAAATAAAAAAACAAACAGACATACAGACGCGATTTTGTTAAATCTACTATATGCAGTACCTACAAAAATATTAAAAAAGTAAAGAAAATAAATAGTAAAGTTGGTAATTAAACAATAGATGCATCTGATTCCTTTCTTTACTTCTAATCTGATTTTTTTTGTTTTATTTACAACCAAATTGAAATTCCATTTGTAACTATTGAGCTAACGGCCATTTCATGTCAATAAAGAACAAAAAGAAGGGATCGCTAGTGCAGCATAGCATATTCAGCTTTCATTGCCCCGGTGTCACTAAAGTTAATCACAACTCTAAACAAAACAAGAATATAACAAGACAAAATTCAGTCTTGAGTGCCACTGATAACGACGATGGCTTTGGTGATGATACCAGTTTTGACACATCGGTAGACACGAGTATGGAAATCCAAAATTTCAGAGATCCATCGTTGGAAAATGTGCTATTGCAACATAGAGCGAACCTGTCCTTATCATCTCAGAGAAATCCCAATGTCCTTCGAGAATCAAATCTGGCCACCAACAGCCAAACTAGATCCAGTTCACTTAAGAGGACTAATAGTGACATATTAAGTACTTTTGATGGTGGCCAAGCTCATAAAATTGCAAGGACTTCAAAAAATGTGGCTCCAGTGACTTCGCCAGCCGTCGGGACCCAATTGAGTGCAGAGCAACGGAAGGTTATAGACTCGGTTGTTGCTGGTCGCAACGTCTTCTACACAGGAAGTGCTGGTACAGGAAAATCGGTGGTTCTTCGTGAATTGGTGAGGATTCTCAAGGGTAAGTATGGCGAGAACATGGGGGTAACGGCCCCCACTGGGATGGCTGCATGTAATATTCAGGGGCAAACCATATACAAATTCTTGGAAGTTGGCCTTGCTTTGAAACCTGCTCTGGATCTTGCCAATATGATCAGGAAGAATTCACACAAGTTGAATAAATGGGTTAGATTAAGAGTGTTGATCATTGATGAAATATCCATGATTGATGGAACACTATTCGATAAGTTGGAACAAGTGGCTAGATTGGTACGCAAATCTGATAAACCATTTGGTGGGATCCAGATTGTGTGCACTGGTGACTTTTATCAATTGCCACCAGTTGCAACAAACAGAACCGCTCTATTCTGCTTTCAGTCAAAGTCATGGTCCAGAGTCATTAACAAAAATATCGTATTAAAGCAAATTTTCAGACAAAAGGGTGATGCTGATCTTATCGAAATGTTAAATGCACTCAGAACAGGTGAGTTGACGAACGAAATTGTTTCGAAATTTAAGCTGCTTGCGAGAATGGTAAGGTATGATGACGGAATTGAGCCTACTCAATTGTTCCCAACTAGAAGAGAAGTGTCAGAAGCAAACAGTTTAAGGTTGGAGCAACTTACATCAAAAGCCTACAAGTATTCTGCCCAAGATAGTCACAAAGGGGAACAATACAAGACACAATATGCACAGCTATTATGCGAGGAGTCGTTGGTTTTGAAAGAGGGAGCCCAAGTAATGAATATTAAAAATATCAGTGACTATTTGGTTAATGGGACGCTAGGCACAGTTCTATTCTTCACCACAAAAAAGCTCTACTTTCGAATTTTAGAAGTATATGGACCGGTCGAGGAATTGGATACCCAGATGTTGAAAGAAGTGAGATTCTTTACTTCGCGAGTTGGCTCGGTAGAGGAGTGGAATGAAAATGAGAGAATGATGTTTCAACAGGTGCCGTCTGAAAGAAAGACTCAATTTGAACTGCTTGTTCAACTGGCAGCTCTAGAGTCGCCAGCCAATATTTTGCCCGTGGTTTTGTTTAAGTTAAATGGTTCGGATGAAGCTGTACTTGTTGATAGACAAGAATTCCCAATTGAGATGGGAAAAGAAGACTCACCAGATGGGAATCCATATAGATCTCAATTGCCTTTGCTCCTCTCATGGGCTATGTCAATTCACAAAGCACAGGGGCAGACTCTTCCTCGTGTCAAGATTGATTTAAACAGGGTGTTTGAAAATGGACATGCATACGTGGCCATATCACGAGCAGTGAGTAGAGAGACATTGCAAGTGAGACATTTTGACATTGGAAAAGTAAAGTCATCACCAATAGTGAAGGAATTCTACCAGGCTCTAGAGAGATAGATTTGACTTTAAAAAAGAATTGTCTTAATTGTATGAAAACTTTTGCAGCAGCCCCGTTTTGTGGTTCTAGACCCCTTTCTCGCAGCTCTTCTTTGAAATCGTAGATAAATATGCATTGGTTTTCCGGAACTCGCTCGCGTGCAGAGCAACAAAATTAATAACAACAAAAATATAGATTGGGCTCAGAAAAGTATCTCAAATAAACTACCTAGATTAAACACGATGAGTCAATGGTCCGAACCAAGCAAAAAGATATTTGAAACTGCAGACGTAAAGAATTTTGAAAAGTCGATAGCATTTCGTGAATTACTGCAAGCGTTGAACAAGATTATCCTGGCTGTACAAAACGTCAAAGTACCACCAGGAGTTCTAAATCCAACTATAGTCTCTAGAGATGCTGGGGTAGAAAATAAAAGCAATTCAGATGCAACTACATTGCGTGTGGATAAATATCAATTGAATGTGAAGCATTTGCTTAAAGTGCTACTGGATCTTGAGCGCACAGTCGATGAAACGCCTCCTGTGGCAGGACCTACAAGGTTTGGAAATATTGCATTTAGAACTTGGCATGAAAAGGTGAGAGATGTTTTGACTTCATTGGCGAATCTACAACCACCTGAAGGTCTAAATATAGATGACTTTTTAACTGAAGCAAAGTATTACCTTGCTAGTTCATTTGGATCAAAGATTCGAATAGATTACGGCACAGGCCATGAACTTTCGTACTTGGCATTTGTCGGGGCTTTAATGCGATATGATATCATCAAGTCTCCGACGGGAGAAGAGCTTTTGATCTTATTTTCTAAATACTACGATCTCGTTCGTCGTTTGATCCTCGTTTACAATTTGGAACCAGCTGGCTCTCATGGGGTTTGGGGATTGGACGACCATTTTCATTTGATATATATCTTGGGTGCCTCACAATTTTGCAGCGATCCTGCTGCCCCATCTGTTAGAAGCGTTTTGTCAAAAGAGGTACTCGACACATACAAAAAGTCAAATCTATATGTCAATGCAATCTCATTCATATTCAAATTGAAGTCAGGTCCATTTAATGAGCATAGTCCTATTTTGAATGATATACATGTGTCCGTTTTCCTATGGACAAAAGTAAGACAGGGGCTTTTAAAAATGTATTTGGTGGAGGTACTTGGAAAATTTCCCGTGATTCAGCACTTTTGGTTTGGTGAGCAATTATATCCCTGGGTTGACGTAGCTTCAAAAAAGCCGCTTCCTGTCAATTCGAGTGAAGAGACCAAGAGTACAAATACTAATGTCGATCAAAAGCTTAATAGCCCGGGCACAACTGCACCTTGGGCCAAGCGTGAATATAACCACAGCACATCCTATACACACGTAAATAGATAAAAAAAATTTAGCTTCTCGTTTTAAAGTTAAAAGGTGATCGACACAAGGGACAAGTTGAATTTCCTGAACTCTTGAACCATTTGTATAAACAAGCGGCATGGAATTTGTTGTTACATGTTTGACACGTCTTTGACGGTAACGACAAGTCCTGATGCAAAATTGAATAACAAATTGCACAATCTTCAAATCCAGAAAAGTGCAAATTAATGTTTTTACAGAAGAGTTCAATAGCATCACTGATTGAACCGTTTTGTAAGGAAATGAGTTTTTGTGAAGCTAATAACCAAGCTTTCCATCTGCTTTCCTTGACTCCAACTCTTGCAGGTCCGTCGATGATTACATTTTCCAATGGATAATGAGTAGGAACTTTAACAACCATCTCGAGTTTTTGGTCATCAACGAGGTAAGACGTTTTGATTTCATTACGATTCACCTTGATGGACAAATTATCTTCTTTCTGTAAAAGCTTTTGTTTATCCTTCTCCACCTGCTCCAAAATCTCCTTGATCAATGGCGGAGATAAGTATTTGCTTGTAATTCTTTCAACCTTCATTTGAAGTTGCTTGTCCTTGATTTCTCGAAACCAAAGCTGAACCTGGAACCCACAATATTTGAGACATTTGTAGTAAATATGGAGGGAAAGTAGTTTCAACTCCTCATTCAAATCGCGAGCTTTGAGCACTTCATTAACCTGGTACTCTAAAACATCATCAATTGATAATGTAGTTAAGAACTTGTTATCCAAGTCAACATGGTCGAAAATGTAATACAAAAGTGTTTGGAAATCCTTACCTTCTAGCACCTCGTTTAAATAATCATTTTTAATGGCTAAGGTCACATCTTTGAAAAAGGCAGTAATTAAAAGCCATGCCAACATATATCTGAATACATCAGCAGTCAGATCTACTTGGAATCTCTCCACAATTTCCATGAGGGTGGGAGGTAATTCTGCCTTCTTATTCTCATCTTTAGAAAGTTGATATTCAATCACAAAATCGTCTTTTTCTTCTTTAAACAATTTTTCCAAATAATAGGTACTGCGGGTTTGTTTTGTGATCGAACCAGATTTGGAAAGCACTTTCAAGAATTGATCACGAGAGTTTTTGATGAGGTTGGTGGATATATTAGAAAGCTGCAAAGCTCTCTCCAAAACAGATTCTACTAACGAGGCAACTTGGTTAGGGTTATCGTCTGTGGTAGTGGTGAGCAACTCAATCATCCTCTCATCTTGTAACTCCAAACCATCACTTGGGTTGTATTTCAAGATATTGGCATATACTTTTAAAGTGTAGTACTTCAAGTCCACCCTGTCATCTGCCATGTCAAGGTTATCACCAATGATTTTGTTTACCAAGTCGTAGTAGATATCAGGTAAGGTTTCTTCAATCACAACTAAACGGCCAAGGAAAATAAGAGCTTGAATCCTCATGTCAATAAATCCGGGATCATACGCTATTGATGAATCAAACCAGTCATCAATCTGTTTCAAAACCATTGATAATTTAACACCAGGGAAAACATTTTTCAAATCCGCCTCTTGATTGAGAAAAGAAATGAGCATGGTGATCCACTTCAATCCTATGGTAGTGATATCTTTCTCTGCCTTAACTGCCAATATCTCCGAAAAGGCATAATTTCTAGCTCGATCTAATGTTGATGATCCTAAAAAGTTTTTGATACCACTTGTGAATGCCACACATTTCAATGGATGTTTTAGCAATTGAACGTAATTGATTTTTAAAGATTCAAACTGCAGGGTACTCATGCATTCAGACGCATTCTCAACAATCTTTGACAAAACCCGGGATGCGTAAAAAGAGTAGATGTCATCGCCATTAGTTGCCAATGCCAACGGATCATTGCCATTGACATCATTTATGAGCTCTTCAATGTTTTCTGTGCATTTTCTATGTGAAAAATTACCAACAATTTCCATCAAGATGCTTTCCTCCTCTATCGTGATTTCACTGGTAATGATATAATCTGACACGATTTCCTTGGCGACCAAAGTCAATACCTGCCATTTAGGTTCTGCATCATCTAGTTGGATTATAAATTTTGCCAAAACGGGTACATCACTCAGCATCCTCTTTGAACCATATTTACACAAGTATACTGCCAGCTCTAATGCATTTGCAATTGCAATCTCAAATGGTTCTATTTGGTTTATTGATTCTTTCAATTCTCGTTCAAAAAGATCATAAGGAAGTGGTCCCTCTTTAACGACCTCCGCTATATCGTCAAAGTTGGTTTCAATTGAACAGTTTTTGAGGTAATCCACCAACGATTTAGAATAAACATCCTCAAATTGTCTTAAAGCTCTCAAAAATTGCACCAGTGGTTTCACGTTGCTCCATGCTGAACGTATCACATTATCAATTCCTAACTCGATCACAAATGCAAGCGAGCTGGTCTTTGCAACAGCTGAAATAAAAGCGAGACACGATTGCTCATTCAAATTGGCAATAACTTCACGCAAAGCCTTCTCGTCACGAGAGGTTAACAATTTTTCCAAATATTCTGGTTCAGCCAGTCCCCGTGAACTCTCACGTAAGTACAGGTAGATTTCAGGGTACTCTGATTCACCAAAATCAAGACCCAATAATTTGATAAAACCGTCTCTATTATCAGGATTGATTAAGGAAATATTTGCAAAGGACTGGTTTATCAAGGGAATCAAGTCTTCATCTGCTAAAATTTTCTTTGATACTACATCTTTCAACAACTGCGTTGAAGTGTCATTGATACCTTCTAAATGCTCTGGTAGCTGTTTAATGAATGTTTTCAACGGTGGAGTGATATCATCATTCACCGCCAAATATGCAATGACGCAGCGTGTAACTGTATTGGCATCCACTTGCTGCGTATTAAATTGTTCAATTGCGTATTCAATCATGTCTATACCTTCATCTTTGAGATCCAGTGCTTTTAACAATTCATTGAAACGGATTAAATAACTTTCGGTGTATATTTCATCACCAAGATGCCTCTTTATCTCTTCCTGTACCTTGGTTAGGCATTCTTTCAATAATGGTTTGTTTTTAAAGTCTTGAAACAGGGAGTTCATCTCTTTAATGTTTGACTGGAGTCGTATTTTCTTTCCGTTCAATACGGACCTTATTATCGTAGTCATATTTTCAACTTTATCCACATCGAATAAATCCAACACTCTCACTGCACAACGCAAACAAGACAGTTTGAAGTTCTCACGAACCTTTTCAAATTGCTCCATAAATGTCTTTGTAAAGAACAGTGCTTCTTCTGTGTCATTAAAGTCGATTATTTTCAGACTGCCCTGCTTCAAATCATTCATCACAACAGCAACAAAGTCATAATATATAGGATCCAGATCACACGGTCCTAGACGAATATAGCTGTGTAGCCTTGTAATACTCTTGCTACCACCCATATCCCAAATCGATTTGCTTAACTCATTACGTTTTGAAAATCTCGCGAGTTGAATCAAGACTTGCCAAAACGGGAGAATCACTGTTGAGTATATGATTCCAGGCTTGCTTTTCCCAAATTTAACTTTCATTATTGCCTTTGAGACTGTTTTATACAACGGTTTGTAGTCCATTGATTCCAAAAGATGGTTCTCTTTGGAAAAAACGCTCAAAATCAAGGTCAATATACATTTAAACAACGCTAAGTTCATTGAATCTTCCTTCACGCTGTAGATTAATCTCTCCCATATAACTTCCAGTACCAAAATTGATTCAATGGACGAGACGCTTTGAGAAGAACCCTTGAAAACTTGCAAAAGCATCTCGATACACACCATTAACACACGGTCATACTTGATTTGAATTTCAGACTCTGACACGTATCGAGGATCGGATAAAGTTTCTGGAGTTTCAATAGTGACAACCGAACCGATCAAGTTTAAAATTTGGTCCTCAAAAATCTCCCAAACTTTTTCAAACTTGGTTTCATCACCCTGAAAGTTGTCAAGTAAAAGCCTGGTTGCTGTTCTGGCCACATTCTTATCGGGGTCTTTGACACCCATTAACCAAATAGGCATCGTGATTTTCAAGTACTTGCCATACCTTTTTGAACCAAGCACTTTCAAGAGCGTGCCTTGAATTTGATGAGTCATGATCCTCACATCTTTAAAATTGTCGAGGGCAATCTTAGGATAGAGCTTGACCCAACAAATTACAGCCAAATCATCAAAATTTATCGACTCTTTTTCAATGACTGAAAGAAGATCGTTAAGAGCCTTTTCTTTTGTTTTAGGGTCTTTCTTGCTTAATGATTTGAATATTATCGCAAGTTCTGCGTTGGAAACAGACAGGACATCAGGCTGATTGGTGAAGTAATTTAGGGTAACATCTAGTTCCTTGTATCCTAAGTTTCCCGTGAATCCTTCGCTGCTGGGTTCCATTGGTATGTGTAACGTATTGTACTTTGCCGTTGTTTGAGAGTGAAAAATTATTGTTAGTTATAGATAGAAAATTTTTGTATTTATTATATCTCACTCTCTCTCTCAGTCATTACTAAATACGTCATAAAAATGATTTTGATCGTCGTTTTTGTGTTACTGTCAGGATCAAAGAAATGGATTGTTATCTAAATCTTTCTTTGCCTTGAAGAAGTAATCTAGTTGGCTTTGACCCTCAGCTGCACTACCTTGTTTCCTTGTTGGCAATTTTCTTACTTTCCCCTTTGGTGAAAGACGTTTTGGAGGAGAAATCGATGGCTTCATTTCGAAAGGAACAGGTTGCAACAAGTTGAGTCCATAGTTTGACCTTTTTGTTGGAGAATTTTCCAACATATCCAAAGTAGTCTTTTGAGGCAGTAGCTTGTGTTCCTTAAGGTAAAGTTGTTGTTTCTTGTTTTGGTGATATTCAGCAAGTAATCGAGGGCAATACACTTTTACCAAGGATGTGGGAGCCCAAATGTAACTCATTGTACCATCATCTTTCTTGCACTTTTCTGGTGACTCGAAAACTCGTCTAGCCTCAACGGACATTGGAAATGTGCTGCGGACTTCACTTTCGTCGTACTTGAGCATAACCTTTTCAATACCATCCTCTATTTTCTCATTAGTAATTTGTATCATCGAAGTATACGATGCCAATTTGAAGACAATGTGCTTGACTTGCCAGCCATACGTCTGGGGAACAAAAAGGTGTTCACTACTCAGCTCTATCAAAGATGTGTCTTCGTCAAAGTCTAGGGTCTCGATTTCACTCAGTCGAAAAAACACCTCCTTCAATTGTGTTCCAACTCTAATTTGAAAATTTGTCTCAAGCTCTCCTGAACTTAGAGTCCAAGGGAGAAATACGGGTAACTGGGTTTGCACGAGTGGGAAGAAATACAAGAGCACAAAATACTCATCAAATGCAAAACGCTCTGTGATGGTAACGCCTCGTCCAAATATATCACGATTAGAAACTTGCAATGACTCATTGAGGTTTTCCAACAACTTGGAGAACAAAACTTGTCTCGTTTGTTTATCTTTTCTAGCTTCCCATGGACAAGTTGACGCAATATCTTTTTCGACAAAGCAGTTTTCGAGCTCTTCTGCAAAATCGGGTGGCGGTTCTGTAGCAATTAGTTTGTCGTTTCTTGCCTCTTTCAATTCCTGTTTGGTTAAGGACCGATTGTAGAACTTGCCAGATAATGTACCACTTAGTGCCAAGTTTTTGGCATTTGTAATGCCCATTTTTTTTATTCCTGATGAGTAATCACCTCCTCTTAGCGAGGCTAAAAACACTAACCTGGCTCTAGAGAGTCCTGTTATATCTTCAACCCGCTTCATATTCACTGGTGTGACGTAGTATTTTCGTTTCAAGGTGGCCGCCTTTTTCGTTGGAGATGGACCGACATCCTCAAAAAATCGACTGTAGTTTCTCAAAACCTTAGTGGCCCCAAAGACCAAACTGTCAACGTCGTTAGATATCACAAAGTCCACAATGCCCAATTTCTGTATGTAAGCGCATTGCGCCTCTGCTTCCCCCACTGCTTGTAAATATTCAATCTTGTTGACTGATAAAACATCTTTTAGTTGCTCAACAAATGGGTTTTGGTCGGAAAAGTCTGTCATAAGCTGAAGCTTGTCCAATTCTTTCTCGTAATCTGACGCTTCACCTGTACCAGTCTTGTCTGGTTTCAAAATACCATCAAATACCACAATGACTGAAATATTTAGTCCAATTAAGGCAAGGATCTTTGACATGAAGTTCTGGATCAATATCCTATCTTTATCCTCGGTTGAAATGGAGCTATGGTCGGATTGGAAGATAAACATGTATGCATCTATGGCTACTCTTGGAGGTCGTCCGAGTTTCCTAATGTATTGCTCAACTAGCTCATCTAATGTTATTCTCTGGTCAAATCCCGGTCTCAAGACATCCCACAACTCAGGAATCCCCATTTGTAATCACCACTGAGATTACAGCTTCCTGTGATATGGAACACAAAAATCTCCACTTCAAGCATTTTTTGTTTTTCTTTTTCTTGTGTTTTACCACGGCGGTTCTGATTACACTTCAACCATCTATATCACCTTTACAACAAAACTACACCTAATAGTGATGGAGGAGAGAGCTGGGCAACTACTATGCGGTGGGTTCCAAGGAACCAAGGTCACCTCGCAAGCCTATAAATTGATTGTTGAACACAAGATCTCGTCAATGATCTTGTCCCGCAAGAATGCAGTCAATGTGGAGCAAATGTCAAAGTTAATCAAAGACCTACAATACATTGCATACACTCAGGGAGATTACAAATACCCAATCATGTTTGCTATTGACCAAGAGGGTGGGATTATGAACTCCCTCTTTGATCCTGAGTTTATAACGCAATACCCCAGTGCGATGGCATTAGCTGCAACAGGTGACCCCAAATTGGTGTATGAAATATCCAAAGCCATAGCCATAGAGTTGAAGGCGATTGGTTTCAGTATAATATTGGGGCCCGTGTTGGATGTGGTGACTAAGTTGTCGCACCAGCTAGTTGGGGTTAGAAGTTTTGGCACTACGATTGATGACGTACAAAAGTACGGTCTGATGTGTGCAAAAGGGTTGCGAGATGGTGGCTTGTTTACCGTGGGCAAACACTTCCCTGGTATTGGTAATGCAACTGTTGATTCGTTATTGGAATTGCCCATGATGGGCGACACGCTCAGTCAAATTCGACAGTGCAATGTTGCACCTTTTGCACACTTGATCGAGGCAGGTTTATTAAATGGAATAAGTGTAGCTGGTTGTGGCGTGCCCAATATCAGTCCTGATGAGACCCACGCGTGTCTATCGCCAGTTATCATCAACCAGCTTTTGAGAGAGGAGATAGGTTTCAAGGGAGTTGTCATCAGTGAGTGCTTAGAAATGGAAGCATTGTACCACTCTATTGGTTTGGGCCAAGGAGTGATCCTCGCAATCAATGCAGGCTGCGACTTGGTTATGGTTTGTCATGACTTGAAGTTGCAAAATGAGGCAATTGACTCGCTCAAAAAGGGTATCTTGAATGGAAATTTGGACGATGATACAATTCTTCAAAGTCTTGAAAGAGTGGAAAATTTGCAAAGGCAGTTGCCAACCTGGAAAGAAATATTTCCTGAGGGAATGGTGTCGGCTCAGCAAAGCCCGGTTTTGTTCCGGAACGAGTATCCAGAATTATGGAATCGACACCAAGATTTGGCAGCGTTGGCGTATCGAAAATCAATTACTTTGGTACGAGATTACAGTGGCTTACTTCCGCTATCAAAACACTACGAGAAACTGTCCGAAGTAGAGTCTATATTGGTATTGAGCCCGTTGTTGAGCCCTGTTTCACCAAAACCATCAAAGCCCGAGCACCTCTTTACCGGTGAAGAAGTTTTCCAAAGCTTTGGCAAATTCTTATCCAAGCATCCAGTAAATGCTAATAAAAAGTATGTTGTATTACATACCACCTATACTGCAAACGGGTTGACACCACTCCATGAGTCCTTAATTGAGAAAGCCAGTATTGTTGTTGCCTTTACGAGTGAAGCTTCTAGAAATATGTATCAGCTTGGAATTGTGAAGTACATTTCGGTGCTTTGTGGAGCGAATCCAACTTCATTTGGAGCCAAACGGTCGAAATCAACTAATTCGTTGCAAAAACCATTGATTGTGGTTGCCACGCTGTCTCCATATGACTTTTTTTATGATAAGCTAATGGGGAGTGCATACATCTGTTGTTACGACTACACAAAAAAAGCTTTGGAGAACGTTGCAGCTCTACTTATGGGGGACTTTGAACCGCAAGGTTGTATTCCCGGAGAGCAGGAGCATCCTAAGAAAAGGCGGCATAGCCACGGTGAAGACAATACAAGACAAATCAAAAGAAAATGGTTGGTTGATGAGTTTGATACAGCAAGAGATTTGCCAGGTTTGATTAAATTGTGGAAGGACAGTCATGGAGAAGCAGATAGTGTCAACTTGCAGAATAAGCAATATTGCAAACGCCTAGGAGGTCTTTTAGCCACGTCGAATCAAAAGCATTTTGTCGTGCGAAACTCATCGTTGAATATCCTCTACGGTGCGGTTTTGACATGGTGTGAAGGATCTGTGGGGCATGTGCTTAATATTGTTGTTGAAAAGTCCAAGCGTTTGCATAGCATTGGAAAAAACTTGAATGCAAGAGCCGAAAGGTATCTAACTAGAGAGAAAAACTGTTCTGAAATTAGACTAGGTTCGTCTTTTCCCCTTATTATGTTTCCTGAGAACGTTAATAGTGGCAGCATTACATTTTTGAAACGACTTGGATGGGAAGATGACAAGTCTCAAAAGAAATGGATTTTGGTGTTGAATGAGTTAAGTCAGTGGCTGGTTCCAGAGCGTATTTTAAAAGAGTTGATGATTGTGGGTGTAAGATTTGACGTGTGCACTGAGCAAAGACAATTGGAAAAGTTGATCCAAAGCGGGAGCCTAACACCCGAGTACAAGGCATATTATAAAGAAGCAATGAAGAATATAGCCTCACGACAGACCCACGAAGTCAAGATTATAATCGCTTTGGAACCAAGTTCACAAAATGTGATCGGAAGCATTATATTGTTTACCAACAAATCGGAGTTTTCCAAGTTTTTCCCCTTTATCGATCAGTGCATTGCTGACGATGATGAGGGGCAAAATCGCGGAGTTGTGCCCATGATAGGAGGAATTATTGCGCCCGTGATTGATGAACTGTACGCTAACTTGGTAGACATATTCAAATACGGTTTGATATGTAGTGCAATAACCAAGCTTAAGAACTCAGCAATCAACGAAGACTTGCTAAATCAATGCATAATGTGTGATATTGTTGATGATGAGAAGACGATAACGAGTATACGCAACATTGGATTTGAAAAATGGAGACATTATTACGATTATTATGATAAGAAAATGTGTCAATGGAAGAATGGTTGATAAAGCAGACCGTTATTTTACGTGTAATATTACGAGGTGGATAAGGTGTAATGGGACCCGCGTGTCGGAGTTTCCATAAATAGTAAAGGTTGTATGCTTACTGACGTATTTTTTTTTTATTTCGAAAAGAATAAGCGAATCTAGACTTTTAAGAGGTATCTTACAATTTCGAGAATATGTCTATAAGACCTCGCTTCACAAAAAGTGGAATAAAATGAAACGTTGGGGTACAACCACAAGAACCGCTCATTGGTGTCAAACACCCCGGTGTTCGACGTAACAGAAAAAGGAGAAGCAGAAACAAGACAACAAAAAAAATATATATATAAAAAGACAAATAAATAATAGAAGGAAATGCGGGGAGTGTGCAATATAAGAGAATTTGAGTTTAAGCGAAATAGGAAAGAAGTATAAGAAGAGAACAGACTATTGCAGCATCAAAAACTGTATCTGAGTTATTATTACATCATTTCTCATTCCCCACTAACTAACTAACTAACAACGTTCAATGTCAAAAAGCCCAACGTTTTTCTTCTCTTATTCTTCTTTTGCTTCTGCCTTTCTGTTGTTCATTGTTTGAAAAGGAAAAAATTTTCATTTATAAATAGTTTGTTGGCATGTGTTAAATGACAAGTTACACAAAATTCACGAAATGGCCGGACAATATCGTAACAACTCAGCCTATATTTCCGTTGTTAAGAATCTCTTTGAAAAGTTTGGGTATTGTAGACAATAGTGAATGAGCGTAGGTTGACGGAAACGGGAAATCTCAAAACAGCCCAGTAAGATACAGGGTAGCTCTACCGCGTTAAATAAAAGTAGCGTGTTTTTTTTTCACTCCCTTCTCAAACTAAAAACTGAGAACCTATTTACGCAGTACTACGCTGTTACAGAATCAGGCTACTCGTGCTTCCTGTACATCCCCGGCTGCTTTAGTATTTTAATCTTCGCTAAAAGGCTAGCTCCAAAAATGCTCCAGTTCCGACTTGACATTGGCTTTATTTGCGTATTGTAAAACTTTTGTGTACACAATTTGACCTCGGGAAGAATCGAAATCCCGGCATGGAGGATGTCGGAACACCTGTAAAACTTTACCCCATATTTCGTTATTGCGGTAGTGTACTAGTGCACGACCTTTTACTGTAAGGAGGGGAGGCTGGCAGTATCATCAATCAAGAGATCAGCTGGGTGAACAGCAAAAGGTGGAGTGCAGAAGATTCATTGAGATCTAGCAGATTGAAGTTAGCTAGCAGGACTGATAGCCACAGGGCATCTACTTTGCTGGTTGAACAGTGATACAGTGTTTCATTTGTATAGAAACAGCTGGTTTTATTTTTGGAAAATAATGAAAAAAAAAAAAAAAAAACATTAATTTTAATGTATGGAGAAGTGGGTTAATGGAAGTTAATTGAAAACATTTCACATAATAAACCCATTATGACAAAAGAATATAAATACAACAACATTTTCCCCTTTAGACGTCCTTAGAAAAACTTTTCCTTTTCTTCTCTAACTAGTAACTAAATCATAACTATTCCTTAAAGATGTCACCACCAGCTGCCGTTGAATCCACAATCAACTTCGAAGGTCACCCTTCAATCAAAAGCACACAAGACCCATTGGTCAAAAAATTGAACTTGACCACTGATACCATCGTCAGACACAATGCTGCACCACCAACCTTGTACGAGGATGGTTTGTTGGAAAAGGGAACCACCATTTCATCCACTGGTGCCCTTATGGCTTACTCCGGTAGAAAGACCGGTAGATCACCAAGTGATAAGAGAATTGTTGACGAAGAGACTTCTTCTAACCACATTTGGTGGGGTCCTGTCAACAAGCAAGTTGACGAATTGACTTGGAAGATTTCCAGATCAAGAGCTTTGGACTACTTGAGAACCAGAGAAAAGTTGTTTGTTGTTGACGCTTACGCCGGTTGGGATCCAAGATACAGAATCAAAGTTAGAATTATCTGTGCCAGAGCTTACCACGCTTTGTTTATGACCAATATGTTGATTAGACCAACCGAAGAAGAATTGAAAAACTTTGGTGAGCCAGATTTCACCATCTACAATGCCGGTCAATTCCCAGCCAATGTTCACACTAAAGGTATGACCTCATCCACCTCAGTTGAAATCAACTTTAAGGATATGGAAATGGTTATCTTGGGTACTGAATACGCTGGTGAAATGAAGAAAGGTATCTTTACCGTTATGTTCTACTTGATGCCAATCAGACACAAGGTTTTGACCTTGCACTCATCCGCTAACCAAGGTGTTGACAAAGGAGATGTTACTTTATTCTTTGGTTTGTCGGGTACTGGTAAGACCACTTTGTCTGCTGATCCAAACAGAAAGTTGATTGGTGATGATGAGCATTGTTGGTCAGACAATGGTGTCTTTAATATTGAAGGTGGTTGTTACGCCAAGTGTTTGGACTTGTCTCAAGAAAAGGAACCAGAAATTTTCAACTCCATCAAGTTTGGTGCTATTTTGGAAAACGTAGTTTACGACCCAATCACCAAGGTTGTTGACTACTCTGATTCATCAATCACAGAAAACACCAGATGTGCTTACCCAATTGACTTTATTCCATCCGCTAAGATTCCATGTTTGGCTGACACTCACCCATCAAACATTATCTTGTTAACATGTGATGCTTCCGGTGTATTGCCACCAGTATCTAAATTGACCAATGCTCAAGTTATGTACCACTTTATTTCAGGTTACACTTCCAAGATGGCTGGTACTGAGGAAGGTGTCACTGAACCACAAGCTACATTCTCTGCATGTTTCGGTCAACCATTCTTGGTCTTGCACCCAATGAAATACGCTCAACAATTGTCTGACAAGATCTCCGAACACAAGGCCAATGCCTGGTTATTGAACACCGGTTGGGTTGGTGCTTCAGTTGCTCAAGGTGGTAAGAGATGTTCATTGAAATACACCAGAGCCATCTTGGATGCTATCCACTCTGGTGAATTGTCAAAGGTTGAATATGAACAATTCCCAGTCTTTAACTTGAACGTTCCAAAGAGCTGTCCTGGTGTTCCAAGTGAAATCTTGAACCCAACCAAAGCTTGGACTGGTGGAAAAGACGCTTTCGAAAAGGAAATTCAATCTCTTGGTAAGAAATTCAACGACAACTTCGTTAAATATAGCGACCAAGCAACTTCGGAGGTTAAGCAAGCTGGTCCAACTGTATAATAGTGCTTTCATTTTTGTATAGTCATTTCTACAATTTCATATTTTATTTGGTTTTTGGTTTAAAGTTGTTGAGAATGTAGCAAACTTGATTTCGGTGGACTTTCTTTATGTAGATGCTTCTTATCTCCCAGTGACAATTTTTGTATTTGAGATCAAAGACTACAAAATCGATATGGCCGTATAGAATAACATCTTCAAAACTATGTAACAAAACTGAGTCGCATCAAAGTCAATGTCGTATTCTATGTCGCGTAGAAAACAAAGACATATGGAACTTAATGACTGACCCAATTCCACAGTAGTTCTACAAACAAAATTTTTGGAACAGAATCGGACCATGTTTCATTTTAATTGAAATTGGAGCAATCTACTTTTGCTATTTATAAGGTTACAGCAATTTTTCCCGTAGTATATCCATTTCATGAAGCAGAATTTTGCATCAAATCGCAAACAAAAATTTGTTAAGAATTTAGAATCTTCCTTTATATATAATAAACATTTCGAAAAAGCGGTGGTTAACCAATGGAGCTGTTACGAGTTTAATGCAAAGACAAGGTACACAAACAATTACAAGGAGGGGTATTCGCGCTCTGTAGAAGCTGATCTTAAGTGTGGTTTTGGAAATTGTCCTACATAAAGCGGAAGCGGACTTTAGTAGTCAGCAAAAAATGTGTGACCGCTACCCTGTCAAACGTTTTAGCTAGGAGGTAGCACTGATCTACGCACTTGACTGTTTAGCATATTACCCTTCTACAAAGATAAATCTGCATGTTATCGTCTCAATGAAAGGCCTATTTTTACAACAGACATTCTGAGTTTGAATTGGGCTCTTTTCCGTCTCCTTTATATGTGGATATTTTCCTCTGAAATTTCCCATTTTGTGCAATTTTTATTTAGCTACGGAATTAATGCAAGTACGATTATTTATGCATGTTTTGTGCTGCATTTATTAATTAAGGTGTGGGGAAAAGTTTTCTCGTCACGAGATGCAGGTTTAGAAATTCGGAGTTTGCGATGTAGTTTTGTTCAATTGTCCTTTTCCAATCAAAAACACACATGGAGATAATAAAATGCGGAGACGCGCTAACCAGCGACTCCGATGACTACAACCAAATGAAACATATTTAATAATACTTTATAGCTTCTTTAAGGTGTAAAATTTGACACAGATGTGGAAATCAATTTCACACAAGATGGCCACCAATTTTTTTTCAACGTTGCTTTGAAATGCAACTCTGAACATGGCAACAAATTGTATGTAAGATGAGGTCAAACTTTGGCAGAATTATTGGGATTGTTGTGAAGTCTGCTTTGCTGCCTGTGTCTCAAGTTTTCTAAACCAAAACATTGTTCTTCGAGGAGATAGAGCATTTCAAAAGGGGTGGTTATTGCTGGATAGGGGGTATCTAAATCCGCACAGCGGAGTTAGCAATGTTCTCGTTTGCTTATTATCTCCCTTACATGTACAAATACTTGCAAAGTTTAGCATGTGATTTGCAAGCGCCACTAAGAAACTAAAACTTCTTTACAAAGTATCTTTGATCTTTTGAAAACCTTACTTTCCTTTTCTGAAGGCATACTAGTGGACAAAAGCTAAATGCAGAAAAAAAGTTGAACAAAAAAAAAAACATAAACATCAAAATACTTTTGTTACACAAATGTCATGTGAAATAAAATATCATAATACCAATTATAAAAACAGCTTCAAAGCACATAATTTTGTTCGTTTGACTCTTCTTCCCTTGTCTTTATACCATACGAAGTCATCATGTCTGACTTTGATATATTCGATTACGCCACCAAGTGGTATGTTTTAGCGCCAGCATTGATTGTCCTTTATGCCGTATACAAAAAAGTTAACGAGGCATACTTGAGGAAAAAGTTGGGTGCAGCCAAGGAAGCAAATTGTGAAAGTGATGGAGCTTTCGGATTCAGACTCCCATTCTGGCTTATTCAATGGAAAAAGGAGGGAACCATTATTGACAATGCAACTGATAGATACGCTGACATCACAAATCCAAATGTCCCTACACTCTCTTTGAAAATCTTTGGTGTAAAGCTTTGGTCTACCAAAGATCCTGAAAACATCAAGGCAATTTTAGCTACCCAATTCAACGATTTCTGTCTAGGAACTAGACACCCACAATTGAAGCCATTATTGGGAGATGGTATCTTTACTTTGGACAATCAAGGATGGAAAGAGTCAAGACAA